TCTGGGATTACTATATTTCCTAGAGGTGTGCGATAGTCAAAAATCGGTATTACTATCGACAGCACGGAAAAGGTTGTTTGAAGTTAAAATAAGTAAAAAAAATATTTAAAACAGAAAATAAAAATGTATTTAAAACAAAAAATACAAAACATTAGTATAAAATATAGGTATATATATTTTTATTATATTTAAACTAAATAACTTAAATTCATATATACCTGTTTATGTAAAAATAATTTAAACTTTATTTTACAAGTGGGGAATACTAGCCTTCAAAAGGACATTTGACAATATCGCTACAACCGCGTGCACGTAACACAGTGCAAGCAGTGATACCAATACGTAGGGAAATTCTCTATTCGTAGGAAAAAAAAATGATTATTTCACATTATATTATAATTTTAACATGTGAGGCCCGGCCTCAGTTGCTTTATGACTTAAACTTTATTATTGTCAACACGCACTACTGAAGTGTAAAAATAATTTAAATCAATCGGGTAATATTTTTTTAACACCTAGATAGGTAGTCTGTAGAAAACGCGTTTTGATCATTAAAAAAGATCGGGTACCTATAGTATACTGTCTATCGGGTACCTACAGTATACTGTCATTTCTTTTTAACCTCACTTTAATTATTATAATTGTACGTTTTATGTATTGTTATGTGTTGTTTAACAAATAAAATTGTGCCTTAAAGATAAAATATTGTTTGCCATTCGGCTGTTCGCATCTGTCTTCGACCTCAGCTGCTGAGGCTCAGCACAAAAAGATATATTATTATTATTTTTATATAAGACATATTATTATAATTTTTATACGCATAGGTATATGCTATAGATTAGAAACCTACAGAATGTATAAAAATTATGATTTTTTATAAATATTTAAATACCTAGGTGCTTTTATATTTTGTCACCTACTTTTTTTAATTTTTACATAGCATGAGAAAATGACTATAGACCAGGGTCGATAATTTTTGAAACCAAAAAAAATAACAGTAGGATGAAACCCATTGGAAAAGGAGGGGAATATAATAAAAATTAAAGGAAAAATAAATTACGGGTGATCTGAGTTCGGGAAGTGGGAGGGGGGGGGGTTTTAAGGGTAAAAAATGGTTTATCTCGATTTCCGGCAAAACTACAAGTCCTATGGAAAAAAGTTAAATGGCAAAGTTGTAGGTAATAAAAGGATCTACAACTTTTATAATTACAATTTTTTTACATAACCTCAAAATTTATGTGAAAAATTCAAAAAACCAAGTTTTTGGTTTTTTATTTTTCTTTTTCAAAAAAAAAATTTTTTCCACGAAATTTGGTGAAAACTTACCTTTTTATGTCCCAAATAGACTGTAATTTATTTGATTTGAAATATTTATTATTTCGCCTTATTTTGACTTAATATCAAAAAAGCACCCTAATTTTCAATCGAAAATTCTCGCGTCAAAATATCAGCTTTTTTTAAAAAGTCGGTGTGCTTTTTGTTTGTTGAAATCTCTACTTTCTGATGGTCTAAAAAAAATATACATTACTATGGTAAATGTTTTCAGAAAATGCAAAAAATATTATAATGAATAACGAAAAAAACTCGAATTCGAAAATTTATTTTAATCATTATGTACAATTTCATCAAAAAAATGTGATTGTTGCAATTTTTTTTAGTTAAAAAGTTTATTTATTAAATTCTAATAACATTTATGTCAGAAAATCTCATAAAATATAAAAATACATGTAAATCATACCATTGAATTTAGATAGGTACTTCATTCTGATTACGTTATTCATTATAATATTTTTTGTATTTTCTGAGAACATTTACCATAGTAATGTATATTTTTTTTTACACCATCAGAAAGTAGAGAGTTCATCGAACAAAAAGCACACCGACTTTTTGAAAAAAGCTGATATTTTGACGCGAGAATTTTCGATTGAAAATTAGGGTGCTTTTTTGAAGTCAAAATAAGGCGAAATAATAAATATTTCAAATCAAATAAATTACAGTGTATTTGGGACATAAAAAGGTAAGTTTTCACCAAATTTCGTGGAAAAAAATTTATTTTTGAAAAAGATAAAAAACCAAAAACTTGGTTTTTTGAATTTTTCACATAAATTTTGAGGTTATGTGAAAAAATTGTAAATACAAAAGTTGTAGATCTTTTTATTACCTACAACTTTGACATAGGACTTGTAGTTTTGCCGGAAATCGAGATAAACCATTTTTTACCATTAAACCCCCCCCCCTCCCACTTCCCGAACTAGGATCGCCCGTAATTTTTTTTTCCTTTAATTTTTATTATATTCCCCTCCTTTTCCAATGGGTTTTAAAGGCTTCTGCACTGGTCTACTAGGGAAATTCAAAATAACAAATTACAAATTATAGGAAATTTTCCCATCAAAGAACAGGGATTTGTAAATACTATAATTTTTACTCATCTCCTATCACTGACAAGGTTTTAAATTTGCCTATAGGTTGATTTTGGTTGCCAGGCACTGACGTCAAAATTTAAGGTGTGTTTTATTCAGCCCTCTGGATGAAATGTGAAAGAAATCTGATAATTCTATTAAACGCTCCAGAAAGTGAAATTCTCAACATTGATTAATACCTACCTATATAAATATAGAGCAAAACTAAAACTTTTGTTAGTAAATTATTACTTTAAAAATAATTAACCCAAATTACAAGCCAACAAATTTAAAGAAGATTTGTAAACGTTTTGTAATACATCTACAGAATTTGAATTAAAATCACATTTTGTGCTGACTTTTAATCTTATTTACATGCTATTTTTTGTTCTGTAAAGTGGGTTTTTATTGCTGTTTTTAAACAAAGTTGTCATAAAAAATACAATTTTTAATAATAGTGTACCCACCGATTGAAGTGTATTGGGGCTGGTTGTGAAACAAATGGCAAGGGGTATCCGCCCCCCAGTGACCTTGACCTCAACAGCTGAATACCAGGAAACAACAATACGTCTCCTTAGCAACATACCACCGATCACTTGATTAGATTTACTTAATTTATTAATTGGATTAAGTTTGCAACATTAACAAAAGAATATAAACTTGTTTTTTTCGAATAAAAATGCTGAGTGTGAAAAAAAAATAAAAGATCAACATTTTTCTGTTGTTATTCTAATTACTACTCATACCTACAAAGTGATTGTCTTGCATAAAATAATAAAGTAAAAACAAAAACAACAATGACAGTTCACTTACATTATGACGAGTTCTTGTTTTTTCTTCCGGAAGAATCTCACATCTAATCAAAATTCGAACACAATTGATTCAACTTATCTACAAACATTAATAAACAAAAATAGTCTTGACTGCCGCTTTTTCCAAGTACAGGTTAGGTGGCAGATAAATAAATTGATCCCATATTACTTCGGGCTCGGTTCTCGAAAAGACAGTCCGATTTCAAAAACGAACAGTTTATTTCACCGAATTTATTTTCTTTTACACGCTTTTGCGAAAATAATCGATAGCTGACTTTCCTCGCGTCCGACATACACAAACTCCGTTTAATTTTGACAGAATTTCAGCTTCCCTATCATAGGCCGTGCTTCGCGCACGCGCATCCACTCTCATTGATTAATTTTTAAACTTGCACGTAATTTATTGTTATTAACAATGCGACTAACGCGAATTAACCCCTGAGATTTACCATTATTACATGCTAATTATGCTACAAGTTATATCTACTGTGCATTAAGTATTTACAAACAGAACATTTCTTTAGTTAGTTTGCATTTTTAACATTTACTTACGTTGCATTTGCTTTAAAATTGACATTAATAAAAAGAAGAGGAAAGATTAGCGGATTTTTCGGGGTGTTTATTTTAAAGTAATATGTATACCCAAAGCCCCTCTAAGTCTGTCAGATAGATAACCTCAATTATTTTTATTTTAAAGTGGGACTTTGCTATAGAAATACTATTATAATAGTAGGTATATTAATATAGTAATATAATAATATACCTACACTGAGAAAACATGGGGCAAATAAACTGTGTAGCTTATACTTTTTATTAATAGTGAATATATTGTTTATTACCTCTAAATAGTCGAAATAATAACGATAAATTTACTTTAGTAAAACTTTAAAGTTTTAATTATGTGTCAGGAATAAAAACATATTTAGGATAAATAAATAATGCTTATGTCCCATATTTAATTATTCTTTTTATTTGGGAACCATAAACTTTTTTCTCATTGTAGTATACTATACAATTTTCCTCGTGCGAAAAAATAACGTCTTATAACATTATTTCTTAATTAATATTATTAATTAAGAAATAATGTTATAAGACGTTATTTTTTTGCACGAGGAAAATTGTGTTGTAATGGACGAGTGTGAGAAAAGTCTTATGGAATGAGCTCTTTATAATAGATATTTTTTTCTAATTGGCAAAATTTTAAGAAAAATTTGAATTATAAATTTTATTTGCGTATCATAATGTTGCCATCAAGACAGTAAGAAACGCAAATGCGTTACATACTGTGCTTATTATAAACAAATAGGAAAAAAATATTTCGACTTTAAAACTTTCAAATTTTAATAGGTATGTATATGTAGCCCACAATGGATTGTGATGTAGCCTACATAATGTAGGTACTCACAGAACATAATTTATAATTTAATTGTAAGAATCACAATCCATGTTGTGTGGATTGTGGTAAGAATAATAATAAACCGTGCCAAAAATATAATAGAAAATTCTAAAAGAAATTTTCTTGTCATTTTGAAACTTTGAAATTTTCAAAATTTATACATATTCTTAATCTAATATTTTATATAATTATAACATAACCAGAATTATATTCTCTACTAAATTATTTTGTTTTACCTAATAAAGCCTATTATAAAATTGGAGTCTCTAAAATTTTCCAAGTAAATCCCCAAATATTTTACATTAAATTCCGAATAAAAAACAAACTGTACGCGTTTCTTTTAAAATCTGTGGAAGGCTTTAAAATTAAAACAAGTTGCCTAAAATAAATACAATTTAATATTTAAACCATACATATTTCAATGAAAAAGTCTAATAAAAAAAATAGCAGTGCTATAGGATTATTATAGACTTAAAAGTAGAATTTTAATTCGCAAAACAAAATACTATAATAACGGTGTTCATTCACTATCTTCATGTCTTCTAGACTTCTTTTTTCTATGAGATCTGTGACTAGGACTTCTTGACCTTGATCTAAAAAAAATTATGTTAATACAGTTGTGTAATAAATATTATGAATTGTTTGCCTATGTCTCCTTGATTTGCTTCTAGATCTTTCTCTTCTATGTGAACGTTCCCTTTCTCTATCCCGAGGTTTCTCTGATCGACTCCTACTCATTTCTCTTTCTCTATCCCTACCCTCTTTATGGGGGCTTTCTCTATGACCAGGTGAATGGACTTGCATAGCCATTGGTGGACCCATTATATGGGGTGGAGGGCCCATAGGGGGAGGTCCTGCCAAACCTTTACAAGAATAATAAATAAATATTTTTAATTTTTCTTGGCATTGAAAAATTTGCCATTTCAATAAAAATGTATTTTTACTCACATTCCCTGGCCAATTCATTAGACACAAGTATTCTTTAATTTTTGGAATTTGTAAGTCAATATCTTGCAAAAATAATACTTAATATATGTAACTTTTTGGGAATTAAAACTAATTTTTGAAATTAAACTCTGATTCTATTGCAAAAATTAGTGTTAAGCCCAATTTTTTTAAAACATATATTAATATAATATAAATTTTATGATGTTTTAAGTATTTTAAATAGTTTTTTTATCATAACTTTTTAAATCTCAATTTTATCGTAAAAATGTGTTTTTAACACCATTCTATTTTTAAAATCACTTTTGTAGTATTTTTGTAAGAAAATATCGACTATTTTACAAATTTTCAAAATGAAAGAAAATTTGTAGTTATATAATATTCTCAAAAGATTTTTAACAATTTCCAATTTTTATTAAGGAACACGCTCTTTTAAATTAAATTAAACCGCGCCCCTATGCAGGTTAGTTAATTAGGTTAAAATGCATTTTTTTAAATATAAAAATTTTTAAGACTAGCAATAAAAATCTCCAAACAATTTCCATAAAAAAAAATTAATGTAATGGATTTTTTTAGTACATCCATTTCAAAAAAACAGCACAAAAATGCTTTATTATAGGCATATAGTTTTTAATAATGTACCCCATTGAGAATCTTGTGTGGGCTCATAGCCTCCATAAAAAGGCTCTGGCTCTGGATTAAACCCATATTCCGGTTGGAATTCCTCAAATGGAGTTGGAGGTGGTACGGACATATCTGGAAAACCTGGCTTTCGGCTGTATTCTCGTCTATCTGCTGTCATAACCTAAGAAACAATCAAAAATAGTTAGTAACTGGTAACAAAACTAAAAATGCCCCTGTATTAAGATAAAAACTGATGTCCAAATGTTGTCAGGGTGTGAAAATAAACAGCTTTTATTTTAGTTTATGAATTAATAACAGCAGAATCAATTTAATGGACCATATTTTAGAAAATTGTTTTACTACTTTGACTTGTACTACTTTAACCTTCTAACAAAACATATTAAAAAAATATTCAAAATTAAATTGTTTCCAACGTTTTTGTCATCAAAAAATCACTACATAAAAACAGTTTATTTTCTCAAAACACACCTGAATGGTGCTAATCTTCTGTGGCTCAGTTTTTCCTCCAAGGGGTGGTGGTACAGTCCTTGGCGGAGGTCCTCCTATAACATCAATAGCACCAGTAAGTCTCCTGCACGGAGGAGGGCCTGCTTTACGTATACCTATAAAGTTTCCAGAGTACTTGCTGTTATCATTCATGATCGGCATTGGACCTCTGGGCATCCCTATTGCGTTTAGTGGGGCTATACCAGTTCCTGATTCATTTACCCTGATCCTAAAAATAATTTAAAATATATTGAGTAAAAAAATCAAAATTAAACCATTTCTTAATTGTTTTTTTAATAAAATAAAATTTACTTAAAGTAGAAACATCAGGCAACATGAGCTCTAATTAATTTTTTTTTACCTCTTTTGACGTTCACAATAAGCTTTCCATGTGTCCTCATTAAACCCATAATTAAAGTAATCTGTTATATCAGCACCAGGTTTTCTCCATGGTTTATCCTCCAAAGAATCCAAGTTATACTCATTTGCAGGCACTCCATTAATTGTACCTATTTGTTCAAACTCTTCCACATTAAACTTTCCTGGTTGCTGTTGAGACTGTTTGTTTTTATCTAAAGCCGCCGAAGTAAGCAATGCACCACCTCTTTTAATATTTACAGATTGGTATGGGGCCTGTTTGATATCCCCAATGACAACATTAACATCATCTTCACTATCATCGTCGTCTTCGTCTTTGTCGCTATCGTCCCCATTTTTGGTCACTTCCCCATCTTCCTCTCCTTCCTCCCGTTCCTCCTGCTCTTCCGGCTTATCCTCTTCAATTCCTGGGGGTCCTACTTCTTGAGGCGGCTAAAAACATACGCAAAAGTAAGGTTATGGTATTTTAAATTTTTCTTTTTATTACTTCGGTGGGGGCTTCATTTTCCTCTGCGGCGGGTTCTGTTGGTTCTTCGGTTACCTTTTCTGGTTCTGGCTCTTGCTCAGGTAATTTACCATCGGGATTATCCCCGTATAACCATTGATCATCATTATCTGGCTCGTCTGCCATTTTTAAGTGACAGATAAAAGACGCCAAATACAACAGACTTACCAACCTAAGGTATTCACATTTGGCCAATAGTACGTCAAAAACCCTAAATGATAGTTTTATGAGATTCGTAATATAACGTAATAATTTATTGGTGTTTTAATAAGGCTGTAATAATTTGGATTAATTTTATAGATTTATTTTAAATTTTTGCAAATTGAATGCATATTAATAAATTACATTTAAAATTTTAGGGGAAATTTATTTTATAATGTTGGCCAAAATAGTGTTGGTCGATAATGTAGGAATCAACAAATGTGTAATGCTCAGTCGGTAACTTCCTTTTTGCCTTTCAGTTAATTTCTTCAGAATGGGTAAGTACATGTGTGAAATCTCTAGTAAAAATCTTTAATCATCGGTCGAAATGTTAAACTTAAAAGTCAAATTATTGTTTGAAATGTTTCTTTTAACTATTTATCTAAAATTAGTGAGTATATTTTTTGTATTTGTCGACAATTTTAAAACTTTATCAGACATAACCAAATTTGACTTGACAACAAAACATGTTTTTATATGATGATAAAAATATTCTTTATGAATGTCCGATGTGTTGTGCTGACGACTAACATATCCCACAGCGTACTGAAGTTTCAATAATTCAATAATTATTGTGTATTTTTGTGAAAACCCGGTTTAACATACTTGTGATGTTTTAGGTATTTCAAGAGACCATTGGCATAAGAGGCGGGCAACCGGAGGTAAAAGGAAGCCTCTGCGTAAGAAGAGGAAGTTTGAGTTGGGTCGCCCAGCCGCCAACACCAAACTTGGAGGACCACGTAGAATCCACCCTGTTCGTACTCGCGGAGGAAACTTGAAATACAGAGCATTAAGGTTAGATACCGGAAATTTCGCATGGGGTAGCGAAGGCACAGCCCGCAAAACCCGTATCATCGACGTTGTTTACAATGCCAGTAACAATGAATTGGTTCGTACCAAGACCTTGGTAAAGAACGCCATCGTTGTCATTGATGCCACACCATTCAGGCAATGGTATGAAAATCATTACATTTTACCTTTGGGACGCAAGAAGGGAGCCAAATTGGTAAGTACACATGCTTATAACCTGAAATATTTAGTGGTAGCATTGAATGAACAGTATTCTCAATTAACTTTGGTAACATTTAGCATATGTGACATGCTCAAAGAAAACAAACCTTGGGTACAAAAATGAAATTTTACAGGAGGGCAATTGAAGTTTGCAAAGCATAAGTATTTGTTTAGTAATGCTCAATTTGAAATTTGTGGCATTTTCAATTTTTGAAATACGTGCACAAATCATTATTGGACTTTTCAAAAGGTTGTGTAATAATATACTTAAATTAACTTGAAAATCTTTTTTTGGACCCAATGTTCGTTTTCTTGAAGTTCATTCATATTATGTACAAATAGTCACTAATAAATTAATAGTATTATTAGGATCACCGAGGTTTGCTACTTGAAAAAGGACAACTTTGGTGATATAATAAACAAATATTAGAAATATTCCCCAACACAAAGTGCTTAATAGTATATTCTGTAACAAGTTTGGAATACAGCATATTCCGCTTAAGTAAAAGAGCCAAAGGTGAATTGACATGAGAGCGGAATATGCAATTCCAAACGTTTTCAGACTATACTTTTTCTGTTTTTCAAAAAATATCATGGAAAAATAATTTAATTGGGAGAATGTGAGGTTGGATCAGTCTAAAAGTTGTTAGATATTAAACAGTAGAGTAATAGTATATTCTGTAACAAGTTTGGAATACTGCATATTCTGCTCAAGTGAAGAGTTTGTCACACGAGCCGATGGCGAGTTTGACGGTTTCACGAGAGCGGAATATGCAATTCCAAACGTGTTTCAGACTATACTTTTTCTACGTTTCCAAAAAATACCATAGAAAAATAATTTAATTGGAAGGAAGTGAGGTTGGATTGGTCTAAAATTTGTTAGATATTTAAAACAGAGATATCGCCACAAGTGTTTATTCTGTCATCCAATGATAGAATATTTCATTCTGTAACACTTTACGGAATATATGTCATTCCATAGATAAAAGTGATATTAGAACGGTCAAATTCCGTAATAGGAGTAGAAAAAAGTACTTTTTCTACTTCTATTTCGGAATATGACCATTCTAATATCACTTTTTAATGTGGAATGACATATTCCTAAAAGTATTACAGAAGTAATTATTCTATAATCAGATGATGGAATAAATACTGGTGGCGACATCTCTGTGTGTGTAAAAATATTTTTAAACAAATTTGAATTATAATACATATTTTTTAAACTTAAAAGTTGACATGACATTTTAAATAACCTCCTAAAAATGAGATTTGGTGAGATTTTGCAGGACCCTTCCCCCCATTTTTGTCTGATGTAATTAATGGATGTCCCCTAACATAAATTCCACTGAAAGTGATAAATACCAAACCTCATTTCTTTGACATGCGTCAAAAAATTAATTGAGTAAAGTGGTGGGAGTAATGGAAGAGTCACTCTTATGCCTGTGGAAGAGCACTTTTCTGTTTTATATCATGGGTTTTACTCTTAATGTGTCTATGGTTTTATTACATGCTACCAACTAGGGATAGAACGATATCACTTTTTTTTTGCCGATACGATATATCGGCCGATACCGATATTTACGTGCCGATATATCGTATCGGCAAACATTGCCATCTATTTATACACGACCGAAGCAAAAATCGGGGAAGTCCCGTTTTAATTTTGTTGCGAGGAAACGTTTGTGATTGGTAGTGAGTGACATTTCTGATTTCTGGGAAGCCCCTTATACAGTGTGTATTAAAACGAATAGATACACTTAAATAAAACAAGTGCCAAACCCCGCCCACTGTGGTAGGGATTGAGAATTTATGGGTTTTATTTTTATCGAATTCGTTTGTTTTGTTTTAATGCATTTCTGCAAATAAAAACTAAGTATTGTTTAAAATCCATTAAATTCCAGTTAATGGCGAAAATGTTCTTCTTAAAAACTATACACATTTCCCTACGACAGTATTTCATTTATGCACTGAAGAGTGAAAAGCGCTTTTTTTTGCCGATATATCGGCAATTATCTTGCCGATACGATACGATACCGATAATCGGAAACAATTGCCGATATACCGATATCAATATCGGTATCGTTCTATCCTACTACCAACCCAACAGCTGACACATGTTTATTAATAAAATAAATTAAATAAACAGCTGACACCACAGACTAGAGACAGGAGTACAAACTTCCTATGTTTGACGCGAATTTTTATGAGACAAAATACGTCGGCACAACAAATAAAACAGTGCGCGCTGCATTGCGCACAAACCCAATCTGATTAGAGCCAATGGTAACAGTTTGTACTCCTGTTTCTAGTTGTGGATGACAGGCAGGTTTGGGTTTTACTATATTACTATAGTATTGGCAATACTGTATTGCTATACTGTATTATAAAACAATAAGAATATAGTGAAACCCAATCCAACCTTGAAAAATCATTTCAAAAGTTAATCCTGCTATGTTACTTATTAAATGAACGTTTTAAATGCCAACATTCATTAAATACCTACTTTTAAGGCAAAGTAAAATCATTTTACTATTGAACTGACATATATCACATTTATCGAAAAAAAAAATTACCCTTGTATTAAAATGTTGGCAATAGCCACAAAATTTTAAAAAATCACAAATATTAATTTTAATTTTGAGTTAGTTTTTGACTGTTAAATAAAGGAATTATGAAAAATTTCTAAACTATTCTGCTAATAAAAATATAAATATGCTTTATTCCTATAATCCCAGTCTACTACTAATGATGAAAATCATGCGTGTCATCTGACTTTCAGTGATTAGCATTGCATCCTGAAGTAAACTGCTTCTTCACATTTCCTAACACGTTTTTATAAATTTTATTTTTGTGTGTTCTTTGTAGACTGCCGATGAAGAAGCTATTTTAAGCAAAAAACGCAGCAAAAAAGTGCAAAAGAAATACGAAACAAGACAAAAAACATCTAAAGTTGAACCTGCTATTGAAGAACAGTTCCAAACTGGTAGACTATTAGGTAAGTTTATGTTTTTATTTCAATATAAGTATTCCCAATTTTGTAATGTATTTTTATGATGAAAAACTTTAGCGAGTTCACGCTTATAAAGTTAACATTCGTTTTGAATAGACTTTGTGTTCAATGATTAGCTTGTCATAGTTACTCTGATCTTACATTATATTTTTATGTTTATATTTGTTCAAAACCACTTTTGTTTGTAATTTTTTTTTCCATTTTTTTTAGCATGCTTGGCTTCCAGGCCTGGACAATGTGGAAGGGCTGATGGATATGTTCTTGAAGGCAAAGAACTTGAATTCTACATGCGTAAAATAAAATCTAAGAAAGCTAAATAAACTTAATTGTAAGTGTTAACAATAAACGTTAACAAGTTGTATATGAATGTGTTTTATTTGTAAATCAAAACGGGATATAATTTGGTGATTTCCTTACAAGTATTCTGCAAATAAATAATCCTGTGTATCTACAATGGTAGACACTGAAAAAATTAAATGTTTGAGACTTGTCTCCCTTTATATTTTACTGAAATTGCATCTAGATATATATATATATATATATATAAAATTTTTACACCCCTAGTTTGGATTTTGAGATAAAAGGCATGTTTGAAGTTTAAAAAAAAATCAGTTAACTGAAATATTCCACTTTGAAATATTTACAGCAATAATTTTAATAAGGATGCAATGTCCCGGACAACATTCGTGATTTTCACAAATTTTATTCATACTGATATACGGAAGTCACCGCGTGATAAATGAAAATCATACGAACGTCACATCGTGATTTTCACAAATTATATTCATCCGGATGTCACTGCGTAAGAAATGAAAATCATGTCGTGATTTTTTATGACATCGCTGTTTGCGATTGACCGATGGCACAAAAAATCATGTCTTGATTTTTTATGCCCAAACACCGATAGCATAAAAAATCATGTGATTTTTTGGGCCATCGGTCAATCGCAAACAGTGATGGCATAAAAAATCACGACATGATTTTCATTTCTCACGCAGTGACATCCGGATGATGTCCGTATAAATAAAATTTGTGAAAATCACGACGTGACGTTCGCAGCGCTGGATTTACACTAGGGGCAGTCGGGGCTGGTGCCCAGGGCGGCAATTTTTTTAGGACGGCAAAAAAATTTACCTTTCGATATTTTGAAACTTTTGCATGCAAACGAGTTTCCGAACGTGGAAATGGCATATCGAATATTCATTTCATTAGCTGTAACAAACTTTAGCGTAGAACGATCGTTTTCATGTTTGAAAAGAATTAAAAACTAATTACGTTCAACAATGAGTGCAAAAAGACTCAATAGCTTAGCTATAGCTATATATTCTATATATATAGCTATATATTCTATGCATCGAATCAGACGTACTTCAACGTTTAGATTGTGAAGATTTATTTAATCGACCAATTTGCAATTCAAAAAGAAAGGCATGTTTGCCTGTGAAAAAAATTAACGAAATACAATTATGAGTCGCAATTAGTGCAAAATTTATAATTCTTAGAACAGAAAGAATATTTTTTATGTTATTGAAGTATGTATAATAAATTTTCTGTAATAAATTAGTTATTTTAATTTTTTTTAAATAAGATAACTTTATATAAAATTATACTGTTGAGGCGGCATTTTCAACTGTGCCCAGGGGCGGCACTAAGTTTAAATCCGGCCCTGGACGTTCGTATGAATATCAAGAATGTTGTCTGGGTAACCCAGACTGGGTTCAATTAAAAAAGATATTCCAATGTTGAACAACACGTTCACGTTTTGTTAAACATTGGAATATCTTTTTTAATTGAACCAAATTTTACAAATATCACACCGTGAGTTCTACATATTACTGTGATGAAGCATGTGTATTAGGGTGATTCAAAAAAAGCCTTTTTTTAAAAATGAACCCGCACTGGCCTAAATTATAAAGATTACATTAAAACTAAAAGATTAATACCAAAAAATCCAAATTCGATGAATATTTAGAGGTCGCTCAAATCGATTTTCGTATTTTTGCACATTCGAGCCGCGAAATTATTACTGCGCAAAATAGTAAATAACTCCGTTAGTTTTTATTCGATATTATTAAAAATTTAAGGGTTACCTAGTTTTTTAATACCCTCTGAGACAGTGAATTAAACTTTACGGAAAAAAAAAATTTTTCATGAAAAAAAAAAAATTTGTTAATAAAAACGTATCATCTTATAAAATAGGCAACAATTGGAATCGCACTATGATGGTACCGTAAAAAAACTAAGAAAATAACAATTAAATTATTTAGCATACATAAAACCTGCCGAAAGAAATATTTTATTTGATTTATATAAAACCTAACCTAATAATAATTAAGTTATTCAAATTTTTCCCATTTTCATACGATTTTATAAAGGGACTGTCTACAGTTCCTACCAGTAGGAATTTTAGTCGCCGAGTCTAAAGTTCCTACTGCTAGGAACTTTAGCCACCTGGTCAAGAGTTACTACCAGTAGGAACTTGGTGTTCTGTGGTTCCCGCTCTTTGTCTATACTGTAACCTTAGAACAAGTAACAAAACCAAACGATAATTGCAAAATAAAAAAAAATAAAAATTCAAAAGTTGTCTTTGATAAAAATAATTTTTGTTTAATTAGTAAAAAAAATTTTTTTTTAATTGACCATGTTTTTAAACATAAAAGTTGATTTTTCTTGAAAACGGTCAATTTTAGAGCTTATGACAAAGAGTACCTTTTTTGTGTAGAAAACATTGGCGGATGGAATGGGCCTCTCAAAACCGTACTTTTTTCAGAAGCGTAGAAGTTGAGGAAAAAAACACCCGCTACCCCTTCAAAATTTCCACCAATTATAAGTAAAAATAAAAATTTTCTGGCACAAAACATAGCTTATTATGAGTAGAAAATGCTTACAAAAGCTGTTTTTTGTACGATAAATGGTTCCGGAGATATTCGAAAAAAACAATTTTTTTTCTAAAATTTACACACCCTCGAAAATTGTGCATTTTAGAGGGTAAGTTAATAGCGATTTTTTTCATCTTTTTGGATGAGCTATCACATCCTGAAGTCCTGCGCATATATTATGAAACACATGTTTATATATATATATATATATATATATATATATATATACAGGGTGTCTCACCAGCGATGGTACCTTAGAGGTTTACGGAGAACGGCTGAGGATATCAATTTGAAGATTTTATAGCAATTATTGTACAATTTAATCTACCTTTTAAAATTATTTTAAATAAAATTCCTCTTCCGGTTTAACAGGAAGCGACATCAACTTTGTTATTTCCAATGGAACACCCTGTAAATTTTTAAAAATTATTAACTCGAAAACTATTAAGTTTAGGTATAGGGAATGGTACAGCAATTTCATTAAGAATTTCATGAGGAATTTAAAAATAAAAAATTTACAGGGTGTTCCATTGGAAATAACAAAGTTGATGTCGCTTCCGGTTAAACCGGAAGAGGAATTTTATTCAAAATAATTTTAAAAGCTAAATTAAATTGTACAATAATTGCTATAAAAATTTCAAATTGATATCCTCAGCCGTTCTCTGTAAACGTCTAAGGTACCATCCCACTGAACATTATGGATGTGGTGATGTCACAGTGACGTTTAAAAATTGTCAATTTTAAGGCACATTAACTACGTTCTTTAGTGATGTTCAATTTACGTAAAAATTACGCTAAAAAATAAAAGGTGCTGTCGAGCACGTCACTATACCGTCCAGTCTATGACTTTTATTTTACTTTAGCGTATTAGGTGCAAAACACAACGTACATTTTACGTCACCAATGTGACACATGATAAATATGAATGTGATAGGTTTGCCAATGATGAACATTAAAATATATGCCACATTTACATTTTTGTTGGAAATTTGAGTGTATACTTAGATAATTAAATACCAAATTTAATTCATAATTTTAGATTAAACCCAAGGTAGGTACTTACTTAGAAACCAATGTAAGTAGGTACAATTATTATTTTAATGACTTAATATAAATCCCAGAGTGATTTATTAATTAATATTACCGCTTATAAAATAATAATTATTCTCGCATAGTGAGATTAAGAAACGTATATTTTATGTAAAATTTACGTAAAAAAGGACTCGGGTAATTTCGTTTCCAGTCGATATATCGGTATAAAAGGGGCCCTGTAACAGGGCATACTCTGTTTGCGTTGCGACTGCCATTGTTCTGTGTTCAACACAGTGTGTTGCCATTTGTTGCTGTGTGATAGAAAACGCATTGTTCTCCATAGGCGAGACTGAACGGTTTAGGCATATACCTATAACTTATAGGTATATGGGTTTAGGTAAGTTGGCTTTATTATTTGTTTGCAACCATACAGTTATAATATAATTAATTAATTGTCCCAATATCGCCATGATGGAGCTATTAGTGGTTATCGAATTTTGTTGATTTAAATGTTAGCGTTGAGTGAGAAGTAATATTAATCAATGCTGTTAGACTTAAAGAAAAGTCTTTTAATCAATTTGATTTTTCAGTTAATACACCAGTGAACATGGGAGACAAATTTTGCGCCGAGCGACAGGCAAGTTATATAAGTTTTATATACTTAATTACTTAGATAACTTAAGTTATTAATGTTTGTTTTAGAAGCCAGTATGAAATTATTTCGTCTGACTGAAAGTGATTTCGATAAAGAGAGCAAGGAGTTGTTCCAAACCGCCAAGCAACGCTCATAACGTTTTTTGGCCAAATTTGGACATGAGAATGAGACCGAAAATTAATTAGGCGGTATGTTTTATTTTTATTATTTTTATCAGACTATGTTTTATTTTTATTATTTATTTTAATAAAAAAAAAATATATTTCCAAAGTGGTAGTTTTATTTAAAAAAAACGTAACTATTACGTACAAGTGGAAACAAAACCTATACGTCCATATTAAAATGGCATTTTTACGTCCTTTTAAAAACGTAATTTTTACGTCTCGTTATCCACGTAACGGTTAGGGCTAATTCACGGCCCAGGATCCGGACATAGGCACATCACAGCGACGTTTATGTGACGTTTATTTTACAAGATTCTTATACGTCACACTACAACCTTTGACGTTAATTTTACATATATTTTACGTTTTTTTGCTCAGTGGGATAGCTGTTGAGACACCCTGTATATATGTATATACATATATATTTATAAATATATTTAGAAAACTAGAGATATATTTCTAGATTTCCTACCTAAATCGCAAGATACTTTAATATTTTATTTATAAATAGTTAAAAAGGATATATTTTTTATGTTTTACCATTAATTTTAAGTTACATTTTATTTTTGTTTTTACTAAATAAATGTTTGTTGTTAAATATATATCTTGAATTTAAGCCTTTTAGCAAAGATACCAAAACTATAGTTATTATAGAAATACTCTTTCTTATAAGATTAGTAAAACTTCTTTATACAATAATGAAAAAATATGTTTGATTCAATTTTTCATTTATAACGAATTGTATATAATATTAGACCATTAAGTAATACTTTACTTAATGATTAAACATTATTGTAATAAAATAAGTCAAAGATTTTTATAAAATGTTTTTTTTGTGCAGAACAAGTAAAGATTTGAACATTATTTCCCAAATAGGCCATTTCTAATCTAAACAGGTGGTAGTAACTTTGGCGTCCATAACAGAATTTCCGACTGGTAGTAACTTTTGACTCAGTGGCTGCAGTTCCGACCAGTAGGAACTTTAGTCTTGAAGACTTAAGTTCCTACTGGTAGTAACTTTTGACTCAGTGGCTGCAGTTCCGACCAGTAGGTACTTTAGTCTTGAAGACTTAAGTTCCTACTGGTAGGAACTGTAGACAGTCCCTTTTATAAATAATTTATATCCGTTTTATTAATTATGACGTATTTTTATAAAATTTCTTTATTTTTGATACCATATTTAATTAATTACACTAAGTAGTTATTAATTTATGTCCTTTTTATAATTAAAATAAAAAAAATCCTTTTCATCAAATTTTCGGTTTTTTTTTTTTTAATTTTATGGTATAATTAGCAGACGGGAGGTGAAAGGTGGCAAAACAAGGCAGCGTTGTCCCCCCCCGCTGGGGCACCGAAAAAATTTCGTAAATTTTTTGTTTTATTGTTTTTTTCGGTTTCTAAATCATTTGAAGGATGGTACAATTTTGGAAAACTTTTCATATGCTCATTTTTTGGGTACCCAGGGCTCCCACGGTTAAATTACAAATTTTATTTAGGAATTTAGGAGGTTTTTTGGAGAATTTTAGGAGAATTTTAGGAGAAAAAAGTATGCAAATGAATTTATTTAATTAAAGAAAAACAACTTTACACTATACTTAAAAAATAAGAAAAAAATTCTTTTTAACAAAAATATAAATAAATATCAGTACAAATAGGTTATATTGGCTAGTTTTTTAGCCAAATCGCTCGACGAGTTTTTTTTATAATAAAATGAAAAGTGAGGTAAAAGTAAAAATTTCACCCCACTTTTAATTTTATTTAAAAAAAAGCGTCGATAGATATGGCTAAAAAAGTAGGCCAAAGTTTAATGATGTTATATTTATATTTTGAAGAAAAAAAATTAACAGTTTAGTTAATAACTAACAATAATCGTAATGTCATTGTTACTAAAAAATCTCATAATAGAAAAAATATAAAGTGCGTGATTACAGCAAAACATTCTTTAGATTGTTTACTATTTTAGCTATCATTTAAAAGAAAATTAAAAATCCTTTTGTTTGATATATAACACGGTATATTTTTGTTGAAAATTTACGAAATATGGCTAAAAATGACAATTTTGTAGAAGTCTAGAAGCTACTACGTGGATTTTGTTTTATGGTATATTTTGTTGTTTTTTAAGAAAAATTAATGTAGGTTGTGATACCTATATCATTTTAAAAAGAATTTAATAAACTAGAACCCAAAAATATATAAGAAAAAATTGAACCTACACCTAGCCAAAGTTTTTTGTTTTGAATGCGTTCCACCAACTTCAAATACCGACAGACAGCTGTTTCGACCTTTATTGGGTTTCATCAGTGTCGGGCAACTTGGTGTAGTGGAACACAATCAAAACAAATTACTCCCTGAGCTTATATGCTCGGTTGTTAAGTCAACAGAGGCGAGATGTAAGAATATCAGGTGATCCACATGTGTGCACCGTCAAACGACGTGGCCTTTGCCGCAATCAATTTTTTCTTATGAATATTACCAGTGATGGGTCAAGAAAGTTTCTTAAAGAAACTAAGAAAATTGAATGTTTACCAAAAATATATATTTTTTAATTTACCTTTTAAAAAAGAAATTTTTTAGCACAACTACCTTAATTAAACCGAGTCAAGTTGGCCTACTTATATTTAATTTTTAGGAGTTTTAGGAGATTGATGGCAATTTTAGGAGAATTTTAGGAGTTTTTAAGATTTAAGCCAAATTTTAGGAATTTTATGAATTTTAGGAGGTGTGGGAGCCCTGGGTACCCCATTTTGCCCCCCTCCGCTGCCTTGTTTTGCCCCCTTCCACCTCAAGTCTGCTAATTGTACCATAAAATTAAAAAAAAAAACAGAAAATTTGATGTTAATCAAACTTTGACCTCGAATAACTCTAGAAGAAATCAATTTATCGAAACATAATAAGAGACCTTTTTTGTAGAGCGTTAAATTTTATATAAGAAACTGCAATAATCATTGCCATAAGTTACTTTGATACAGAGGTATAAAATTCCAAATATAAAATTATTTTTTCCCATGTTAATTCAATGGGAAACTAAAATAAAAACAGCGACCTCTTAGAGTTGAGCTGGAACGCCCATATTTGGTGAGGATTTTCTTTATATTAAATAAAAACATTTGAGAGGGTAAGAGCAAAAAAAAATTTTTTTGAAGCACCCTAATGTATATATTTATATCAAAATTTAAGAATAATAATTATTATTGTGGAATGTCAATTTAGCAACATCTAGACAGAATCAAATAATTTTGGTATCAAAATTTAAGAATTGTTGTATGTCAATAATTTTAATAAAATTTAAATTTCTGCTTAAGCCATATCAATGCAGTGAATAATTTTGTAGTTAACGTTATTTTATTTTTGTTGAAAAAAGGACCTAATTTAATAACTACCTAGTGTAATTAATTAAATATGGTATCAAAAATAAAGAAATATTATAAAAATACGTCATAATTAATAAAACGGATATAAATTATTTATAAAATCGTTTGAAAATGGAAAAAATCTAAATTACTTAATTATTTTTAGGTTATATTTTATATAAATCAAATAAAATATTTCTTTCGGCAGGTTTTCTGTATACTAAATAATTTAAGTGTTATTTTCTTAGTTTTTTTACGGTACCATCATAGTGCGATTCCAATTGTTGCTTATTTTATAAGATGATACGTTTTTATTAACAAATTATTTTTTTTCATGAAAAAATTTTTTTTTTTCTGTAAAGTTCAATACATTGTCTCAGAGGGTATTAAAAAACTAGGTAACCCTTAAATTTTTAATATTATCGATTAAAAACTAACGGAGTTATTTACTATTTTGTGCAGTAATAATTTCGCGGCTCGAATGTGCAAAAATACGAAAATTTATTTGAGCGACCTCTAAATATTCATCGAATTTGGATTTTTTGGTATCAATATTTTAGTTTTAATGTAATCTTTATAATTTAGGCCAGTGCGGGTTCATTTTTAAAAAAAGGCTTTTTTTGAATCACCCTAATGTGTATGTACTCAGGATATCACAGCGTGATAAAAAAAATCACGTTGTGATATCATCATGACACCAGGAAATCCCGATTGTTGTCCGGGGTGTTATAACTATAGGAAATTAATTTTAATTCTTAATAAAAATATTAGAATTAAGGTTATAGCATTTCTAAATTTGAATAATCTAAAATTTATTTTTTAATTGAAGCTTTCCAAATTCTCAACACACAAACTGCATACCAAATATTAAAAATACGAATATTACTTCGTATTACGTGTTATTTTATCACGTGATATTAAGTAATATTACTTGGTTTTACATGTAAAATGTAATAGATCACATTAAATTTGTACAGCTATTGTCAGGTTTCCACCTCAGTAAAAACAAATAGTTTTAGTAGTGTGGTAAGCCATACAATAGTTACACAACCAAACAGTAAGAAAAGATTAATATTCCTTGACATATAAGGAAACAGAAAAATTTTAATGCATAACGTTTAAACTAGGGAATATTAAAATAATAGAATAAAACAAAATAAAGAAAAATCGATTTATTATAATGTTGATATAACATGTCAGTGAATAAATTTCAAAACACTAACAATGAAAAAACTTGTAGACAAAAATATTTTATTATGAACGGGCTTGGCTTTGAATAATAATCAAAAAAGAGTATCACATACAGTCGTCCAGAGTCACAAAAATCTATATACAGTCACAAATATAAATATAATAATACCTATATGTTTAGGTAAACACATCTCGATCCACCAGAAGTTCATTAATAATAATAACTACATGTACCAACATTTTAACAATTCCTTTATTAACTTGAAGTATTTCTACTTACTTGAGATTTATTGAACTTAACTACTGGAGGTTCAAGAGGTCAGTTTGGTACTCTAGAATAGAGCTAAAAACATTAAAAAAATAAATTAAGTTACAATTAGTTCAATACAAATTTTCCTATTCAACGTTTTTTTTCCTTCTGTGATAAAACAAACGTAAAATTTTCATTCAATAGAAAAGTTTATAGCACTACTCGAGACATCCAAGTTTTACTCTCATACATATATAAAATAATGATATATAGGCTACAACTGAAAATTTTTAATCAAGTAATAAACTTAAAGGAGAAAAAAACAACTATTTTGCTGGTGGAGTGTGCAAAGCAACGTGAAGGGCCTGTTGTAATTCGGGAGCTAAAGCTTGTACGATATTTTGGAAAAACGATTCATTGGATTGGACCTGTCTAACTATGTTTAACATTCGGAAACCTTCCGGCTTCGACGCGTCTATCGCATCTCTGAAGAACGCTTCCGCTATTATATTTATTATCCTTGGAATATTTTCATTGTTAGCACCTGTAAAAAGAAGTGTAAAGCTTCATTAGAATACATATTTAAGGATTTTTAAGTGTTGTTGTTTATTAAGGGATTTATCAGAAAGTCAAATGGCTTCATTATTCTTCAGAAGAACGAAAGTTAAAAATTAACATCATTTTTAATGTTTGTTTATTATAAAAATCCCTGAACATTTTTTTCCAATACCCAACTGCATCCGCCATGTCCGCCTGGTGAATTATTAAACTCGCTGGCAAATTTTCTTTAAATTTGGGAATTTGTAAAATAGTTATTTTTTTACAAAATTAACATTTTATACAAAAACGGATTTTTGGGCATTCAAACTATTTTTGAAATAAAACTTTGATAAGCATGATGAAATTAAAGTTTTATTGCAAAAATTATATATTAGGTTATTTTTTTGGTTTTTTCAGGTGCGCGATCCTCGACATCATTTTTTCAGGTGCGCGATCCTCGACATCATTCGCACCGTACGTATACGACATGGGGTGCTATCCTCGAGCGCTCGACTTTTATTAACGTATACGACATTGCATTCGAGACGTGTATTTCGTATTCTTGACCGCTCACAATGGGTACGTATGCGCACCAATTGCGAGTGGTTTTCTGCGAGCGGAATTAGGCATTCGTTTTCAAAAGTCGCATACTTTTTCGATGTTTTTCTATGACATAAATATTATTTTTTGTTTATGCTATATATAGTTAACGATTTATCCGATAAACTTTTCGTCTCTCAAAAGAATTGGCAATGTTTCTTATGAATCTTTTGGAAAATGATTTATCTCATGCCCATCATGCCACAGATTTAGATGTACAAACAATTGTCTCCTATTCCCTCTGGGCGTCCTTGTACGTAAAATTATTTGAAAATTTTCCACTTTGCAATGCTTCATTTTTTTAAATTAATTTACATAAAGTTTTCTTTTGCTCCTCAGTGATATATTTTTTTTATTGTCCATCATGTTACATACAAATAGCACAGTTGTAGACGGGCTTTGCACTTGTATACATTATATTTCTATGTCAAACAATATAAACACAAACAAAATGTCCATGAGAATGTCAATTTGACATTCAGATACTAGCTTTGACATTGTAAAAGCTGGTAACTACCACTACATTAAACGTAAATAAACTAACACATGCGGTGTTGCCGGATGAACCACTCGTTTAATTTTGTCGTGTACGTTTTCAATCGCGAAGATTTGTCGAGGATACCATTTTTTAAAACCATTCGCAAATGAATCGCTCGACTTCATGTCGTATACGTACGGTGCGAGTGATGTCGAGGATCGCGCACATGAAGGGTAATGGTATCCTCGACAAATCTTCGCGATTGAAAACGTACACGACAAAATTAAACGAGTGGTTCATCCGGCAACACCGCATGTGTTAGTTTATTTACGTTTAATGTAGTGGTAGTTACCAGCTTTGACAATGTCAAAGCTAGTATCTAAATGTCAAATTGACATTCTCTTGGACATTTTGTTTGTGTTTTTATTGTTTGACATAGAAATATAATGTATACAAGTGCAAAGCCCGTCTAAAACTGTGCTATTTGTAAGTAACATGATGGACAAAAAAATATTTCACTGAGGAGCAAAAGAAAACTTTAATTATATTACCTACCTAATTTAAAAAAATGAAGCATTGCAAAGTGGAAAATTTTCAAATAATTTTACGTACAAGGACGCTCAGAGGGAATAGAAGAAAATTGTTTGTACATCTAAATCTGTGGCATGATGAGCATGAGATAAGTCATTTTCCAAAAGATTTATAAGTCATGTCATAGAAAACCATCGAAAAAGTATGCGACATTTGAAAACGAATGCCTAATTCCGCTCGCAGTAAACCACTCGCAATTGGTGCGCATACGTACCCATTGTGAGCGGTCAAGAATACGAAATAGACGTCTCGAATGCAGTGTCGTATACGTTAATAAAAGTCGAGCGCTCGAGGATAGCACCCCAGCACTTGACAAGTCATGCGCATTGTAGCAGCGAGAGCTCTTAAAACGTAAAAGTTTAAAACCAACAAATAACTTTTCAAAAGTGCAAACCAATTATAGTGAAACAAACAATTTTCATAAAGTTCAGACTAAAATAGTGTAACGGTCAATAAAGAGTGAAGTGTTAAGTGATAAGAAAGAGTTAAGTGACAAGTTTCAGCTTCTGGGGTGCTATCCTCGAGCGCTCGACTTTTATTAACGTATACGACACTGCATTCGAGACGTCTATTTCGTATTCTCGACCGCTCACAATGGGTACGTATGCGCACCAATTGCGAGTGGTTTACTGCGAGCGGAATTAGGCATTCGTTTTCAAATGTCGCATACTTTTTCGATGGTTTTCTATGACATGACTTATAAATCTTTTGGAAAATAACTTATCTCATGCTCATCATGCCACAGATTTAGATGTACAAACAATTTTCTCCTATTCCCTCTGAGCGTCCTTGTACGTAAAATTATTTAAAAATTTTCCACTTTGCAATGCTTCATTCTTTTAAATTAGGTAATATAATTAAAGTTTTCTTTTGCTCCTCAGTGAAATATTTTTTTTTGTCCATTATGTTACTTACAAATAGCACAGTTTTAGACGGGCTTTGCACTTGTATACATTATATTTCTATGTCAAACAATAAAAACACAAAGAAAATGTCCATGATAATGTCAATTTGACATTGAGATACTAGCTTTGAAATTGTCAAAGATGGTAACTACCACTACATTAAACGTAAATAAACTAACACATGCGGTGTTGCCGGATGAACCACTCGTTTAATTTTGTCGTGTACGTTTTCAATCGCGAAGATTTGTCGAGGATACCATTTTTTAAAACCATTCGCAAATGAATCGCTCGACTTCATGTCGTATACGTATCCTCGGGCGCTCGACTTTTATTAACGTATACGACACTGCATTCGAGACGTGTATTTCGTATTCTCGACCTCTCACATTGGGTACGTATGCGCACCAATTGCGAGTGGTTTTCTGCGAGCGGAATTAGGCATTCGTTTTCAAATGTCGCATACTTTTTCGATGGTTTTCTATGACATAAATATTATTTTTTGTTTATGCTATATATAGTTAACGATTTATCCAATAAACTTTTCGTTAGACTTTTTCGTCTCTCAAAAGAATTGGCAATGTTTCTTATAAATCTTTTGGAAAATGACTTATCTCATGCCCATCATGCCACAGATTTAGATGTGCAAACAATTTTCTCCTGCTCCCTCTGGGCGTCCTTGTACGTAAAATTATTTGAAAATTTTCCACTGTGCAATGCTTCATTTTTTAAAATTAATTTAATTAAAGTTTTCTTTTGCTCCTCATTGATATATTTTTTTTATTGTCCCTCATGTTACATACAAATAGCACAGTTGTAGACGGGCTTTGCACTTGTATAAATTATATTTCTATGTCAATTGACACATTGTTTAAACAATATAAACACAAACAAAATGTCCATGAGAATGTCAATTTGACATTGTCAAAGCGGGTAACTACCACTACATTAAACGTAAATAAACTAACACATGCAGTGTTGCCGGATGAACCACTCGTTTAATTTTGTCGTGTACGTTTTCAATCGCGAAGATTTGTCGAGGATACCATTTTTTAAAACCATTCGCAAATGAATCGCTCGACTTCATGTCGTATAAGTACGGTGCGAGTGATGTCGAGGATCGCCCACCTGGTCCTATAGGTATACCACTTGTCATTGGACGCTTTTCACTAGACAAACAAAAGAGGTCAAACAAGAGGGAAAGTGGCCATCCGCAAAAAAATTGATAAGTATCCTGAACCAAATGCATGACCTAACATATAATTTGCAAAATTAAACACGAAAGATAACTTTAAAACCCTAAGAAAGGCACACTGCTTAAACTTAAGAAAAAAAACAATAAATATCAGTAACAATAGAAACATTAGAAAGACAATACTAACCAAACACCATAAAATAATAAAGAAAAAAGACAAACAACAAAAAACAAAACTTCCCAATCGAACTATCACGGTGATACACCAAAGCTGTGTAGGACAATAAATCTGTCAACAACAAATGCGTAAGGCATGAAACCCAGTACGTTAAAAAACAGCGCCAATAAATAACGTTAATTTTAACCCAAACGAGACCAATAATAAACATTTGACACACAGAATATAAACTAACACTCAATAAATCATTAAAACCCTAACATAGTAAAAACTGCATACTAATCAAACTCTATTGGATTTGTAAACACATTAGATTATAACAGAATAATTGCGCTTGTCAATTGTTTAACTAATAAATAAATGCAATACTTAATTTTGGAATTTAAGAAAAAAAATAAAACAATTCTACCACAAAACGTGCTTGGGCAACACAATAACTAAAAAAATTGTTAGAAATTTCGCACTACTGCGACAATAAACAATTAAAAAACTTCAAAAGCTACAAGTTACATATCCAGCTACTGAAATATCTATTGATGTTGTTCGGCCTCAAGACTGAAGACCCATGTGCAGGAATCCTATTTGGACAAAAACAATAACGACAAAAACGTAGACCAGGACGTAGGCTCCTGCAGCAAAATAACAACTCCCGAACTCCATACAGTAACGGAATGTTTGGAGTAATACTAACTGCCTGGTCTAGGGGGGGTACCGCGTCGTACTTAGATTTGAGTCGGCGTAATTGTCCCCCAAACACCAAAATATCTCTCCCTCCCGTCCTACCTCCTTCATGACCCTACTGGGCGTATAGCATCGGCTCGGCGAACCCGGGAATGGCTACTAAAACTATTGGCGTTTCGCTCTCGAGCCCTAATTAGGGGACAGTACTGCGAAGAAAATCGGCGCAAGGCAACAGAGGCCTATGCGGGGCCAGGGAGCGATGAGGCAATGGGGCCGGTTATACGTCTCTTATACTCATACTCATTTAGGTAATTTTTTTGACTTTCACCTTTTTATTTTAATTTTATCATAAAATAGATATTTGTGTACCAATGCCAAGAAGTGACGCTTTTCTGGACGAGTCTGATTTTAATGAGAAAGAAGACGAGGACAATATAATAGTTTTTGGGAGTGGTACACACAAATATACCGCTTATTCACTATGTTTTGTATAGATGACCTTGTTTCCTTTTTTGAGGGGAAATTTGTCTATTTGCCTTATTTTCCTTATGATATATGATTTTCCTATGAATATATGATACCATAGAAATACTAATACATCCACATAATATGTGATACATAAGAATTGTCAACTAAATAAAATTTATGTTATACAAAATTTCCCCCCCAATTTTTCCGTTTTTTTTTCGACACTTTAAAACCCTATTTAAAACAAACTGGAACTATAAACATATATGTTTTGGCAGTGGTTAATTAACAAAACTCAGCCTTACCTAGTATATGTAGATTATTGGCTTCGATAAGATCACATAGATAACCATAAACGTGTGGGGCTTCATCCGCATCTTCGATGACCGGCAACCAGCTGAACCACAGTGGCATAACTTCGTCCAAATTGATGGCGGACCGGTTGTACTTCATAATCTTCGTGACAGCCGATACGGCATTTTCTGTGGCATTGATATTTCTCGGATCCTTTGAATCCGCGGCCGTGATAACTTCGACCAACAAAGGCAAAATCTTGGCCAGCTCGGGCGCGAAACGCTCGCCGCCGAACTGCGCCAAAACGCCCCAACCGTAGGCGGTGGCTTGGCGCACCTCGCAGGTCTTGTCCTTGACGTAGACTGCGAACGGCTGCAGGAAGAACTGCTCGTATTTAACGCAGGCGGGGCCGGCGAATTCGATCACGTCGTCGAACACGCAGATGCCCCACTGACGGTCGGCCCAGTTCCTCTCCGGTTGCAACAGTTGCACGAAGTGGTTGAGTATTTGGTCAAACATGGGTAGGAAGTTTTCGCGGTATGTAATGAAGAGAGAGTGCAATACGTCGGCGATTTTGCTGAGGATGTAGGTGTCGTCCGATTCTTCGTCTTCTAATTGTTCTTGAACCTTAAAATGTTAAGAAAAAGGCTTTTAGTTTTTCTTAAAATCCATGACTTAATTCTTTCAAAATTGTAGCTTATTAAGGATTAATCAGAAAATTTAAATTTCTTCATTATTCTTCAGAAGAACGAAAGTTAAAATTTAACATCATTTTAAATAGCTATAGTTATTTTAATTAGGTATCATATAAATAAATTTTTATGTGATAAAAAACGTGTATGACAATTTTGTAGGGAATGTTGTGCCCTACAAATTTGTTAAAAAATATTTTTCTGTATCACTTATAGTTTAGCTTGTACAGCCACTCAAAGTGTCAAATTATTAAAAATTCAGTTTCTGACGACTGTATTAACTATACTATTAGAGTTACGTGAAAGCTAAACTATAAGTAATACAGAAAAATACTTCTTGACAAAATTGTAGGGCACAAAATTCCCTACAAAATTGCAATTTACATTTTTTATCTACAATCAATAGTTTAGTCTCCAAATACGATTTACTGCTATTTTAGAAGAATTTCGAGTAGAACGGCAATTTGTGAAGAACGTATTCAACTTACTGACTTGCTTAAATAGACATTTTTGAAGATAATTTCATCCTGTATAAAGATTTTAGAACCGAAATACGAAAAAAATATTTTTACTGAGCGGAACGAGAAAAGAATAAAACATTGTTTTTTTAATGGATTTTAAAGGGAAATATTTAAAAATTGAATAGCAACGGCTTAAAGTAAAGATTAAGAGCTTTGTAATAGCTCAAAACTTTTGTTTTCTGAACGGTTACAAGATTTTCAGGTGGGACTTTGAAAAAAAATGTTACTCTAAAATGAAGCACCCTAGTAGGTATATGTATATACTATGGTTGTGTTCCGTAATTTACTGCCATTACTATCAGTAATTTTAATGTCAGTAGCGTAAAAGGACCGTTCCGTAATTTATTCAGTACTGACGCAACAGTGAATTGGAACGCGCCTCAGTAGCAGCAGAAAATTACGTAATTTTGTCATTGTACAATGGCTACGCAAGGTTATGTTTTGTGATTTACTGACATTTGAAAAACTTTACTTTCGACACCAGCAGAAAAATAGGGAAAATAAAATGTTATATACATTTTTCGACGCCGACGACGATACCCAACAGGAAATATAAAATTTCACTGAAACTACAACTATACGAAAAATACCGAAAATTACTCTTAAATTTGTCCGCCGAATACAAATATACAACATTTGCTAGGTAGTTTAATATTTTGGGTCTTCGTATGCGTACTCCCCAGCGACCTGCCCGCCATCCTCCTTTAATTAACTCGTCTCCTTCGTCACTGCTGCTTGTACTTTTAAGTATTATTTCAATAATAATTATTGAAATAATTAGTCCTAGCTCTTCACCAAATACCGTTATATCACTTTATTTGACAGCTATTTTTTATGTTTAAAAGTTTGGTTAGGTATGTGCTTTACTGGAGCCACAGCACATCTCTCCTAGACCAAACCTAGGACATCTCTGTCAAAATTAAAATTAATCTGCCGTAAATATATAAAAGGGTAGTATTTACTACTAAGCTCAGTAACTGAAAGTGGATTTCGGAATGTGTTTTCAGTGCTGACAGTACTGACAGTAAATTACGGAACACAACCTATATAAACTATAGTTTAGTTTGTTTTAATCAATGCAACCAATTTTGGTTCTGTATTTGCCAACCAAACCCCTTAATTTGCAACGTTGCCGCAGTCCAGATAAAAAGAAGAATTTAACATGATTTAACTAATATTTTTTTCTGCAAGGACAACTTAGCTACAAGCATAGCCGATCAATGTCGAGCGCAACAAAAATGGTATAACTCCATTTTTAGTAAATAAACCAAATGAAAATTAATTACAAATTCAAATTAATCAAAACAGTGCTATGGGAGTTATCTAGGTTTTGCAGTAATCCAACGATATTTTTGTAGGAAATTTTACGTTTCACAAAAAAGTATTTTATGTTTTTTTCGTAAAATCATCGAATTAAATATCATACGTCAGAATTTAAAATAAATCAAAATAAACAATATTTTCATTATCTCTTTTTTGTCTGTGCCCCTATACCATCTAAATTATTTGTTTAGTCTAAACATTATTTAAAAAAAAATGTTTTTTTTCTATTACAAAAATGCCTAAAAACTGATACTTTTAATTTTTAAATATTTTATATATTTTAAACTTTGACCTCCAATATAATTTAAATGGATTTACAAAAAAACGTGAAATAACTTTTTGTAGAGCGTAAAATTTCCTACAAAAGTTTGTCTTGTGTATTGTGACAAGTCCATTAATAAGCAAGTTATTATTATGTAAAAAGTTTTTATTATGTAAAAAACAATGAAAATGAGGTCACCCGGTTTTTCAGCCTATGGCAATATAAGAATCCTTTAATAACAAAATAAAATACGGGGTAAACAAAAGAATTTTATATTTTGCAAAATGAAAAGGTTTTTAAAAGCTGTTACATTGAACGTCATAAAAACATGCTGTAATATAATATATAATAAGATAATATAGTTGTCTCGTCTCCCATAAAAAAATGTAAAACCCGTATGTTTGATGCTGATAACCCTTAAACCAAGAAGTGGCAGGTGGCAACCCTATAATTATAGTTGTCAATCAGTAAACAAAATTTACTCTTTTTTTCCATGAATCATTTTGGGTTTTTGAGTAAAGGTTAAACCCAAATTTTCAGGATCCTACCCACTGCAGATGGAGGTAAAAACTAATTTTTTATCGTTGAACGATTTATGCAAAAAATGCCTTTTCTCCAAAAGATTTTTGTTCCTTTTCAGTTTTTTTTTTAAACTAGTACCATTTTTTACGTTTTTTGCCAATTACAAATATTTTTTTCCAGAAACATTTCTTACCTGTTCATCAAAATCTTCATCTAAATGTTTCTTGTGTCTATCACTGGCGCGTTCAAAATGTTCTTGCATCAGTTTATCAATAATTCTCAAAATTTCCGTCATAGATTCTTGGTCAATGTAAGAGGGTCCCAACTTTTGAATGCATCTTGCCAAAGAATCCAACATTACCATAAGGACGTCACTTTCAGGCTCAGTGTCTATTGCTTTTAGCAATTCTGGACAAATAAATCTAAAAAAAGTTTATTACACATGTATTCATTAATGGTTGAATTATTTTTATACCTCCACATGTCTCCAACGAATGCAGGACCCCTGCAGGTGGAGCACTCCAACAGCCAAGGCAAAGACTCGGCGGCAGCGTTACGCACACCGTCGTGGAAGTAGAACTTCAACATCGGCACCATCAACTTGACGGTTTCTTCCGCGTAGTTGGAAAAACTGTCCTTTAACTCTCTCGCGTAGCACACCAACATCATGCATGCGGCCGCCTTATCTTCCAGACCCGCAGTTCTGATACCAAAGTTCTTCTGTTCTCCAAGAGAAACGAATTGCCAGTCTTCGTCGCCTTCAACCCCTTGCATGTCTTCGTTGTCCAGAAGGGCAACGTCGGGTTTCATGGCCGCGGTCCTCATCACCGGTCCCATCACCAAAGGCAGATATTGTTCAAAGTTTTTACCCAAAACCTAAACAACGCACGTTTGAGAATTTTAAAGGTGGAATTTGAAGGAAATTGATTAAAAAAACTAATAACAATTGAGGCCCTTTTAACAAAAACAGCCAGGGGTAGTACAAATATGCCTTGTTAATCAAGGGCGTCGCCAGCCGGTAAGCTAGGGGGCAGCATATAAGAACAAGAGAAAAATTAAAAAAAAAAGTTTCATAAAAAAAAATAAAAAACGAACAAAATAACTACACACTTTGTTGACGAAATCGTCCAAGTTTTTAAAAATGCGTTGCCTGTGTTCACTTATCATTGTGAGGCCATTGAGTCGAGTTTCAAACATGGTGCTCCTCAACCAGGTTTTGATTCTCCTGAGGCTACTGAATGACCTTTCAACTGTACCAGTCGTACAAGGTAAAGCAACAAGGATCTTTAAAGCCTTCCTAATTTCAGGAATAAATCTTCAGTTTCCTTAAGGATTTCCACAACACTCAGTTTATCGTTTCAATTAGCAGGGTGACTTGTGAGCGTTAACCTCTAGGGGGGGCAGCTGCCCCCCCTGCCCCTCTCTGGCGACGCCCTTGTTGTTAATTATGTGTTATTTAAAACAATTATAATTATATACAATGTATGTAGATAAAATCTTAAAAACTGATAGGTTTGTGCTGTTTGAACCTAAATATTTGTCATAAAAATATCTATTTTCAATGTCATATACATTCAGTGGCGGACTTAGGGGGAGCGGTTATCATTATATTAATTAACTGTTAATCTTGGACATGCCTTGATTTAAAAAATTAAATTACTAACAAGTTCAAATATAAGTAAGTTCGCTGAAAAAAAACTTGTCATCAGTGATGCCCCTGATTACATAAATTGTCTTGGGGACTTGTGGCGAAGGACTTGCTAACTAACGAATTAAAAACTAGGTAACATTTTTTTTGTATAAAAAACTCTTTTTTTCTTAGAGCTGAGTTTAATTAAAGCATATTTTTTTCTAATTTAAAACTAATAAAAAATTATCTTCAATCTACGATGAACCAAGAACGACCAGTCAATTTTTCAATTGTGTCAATTGAAAGGACAACTTTGATGGTTATTTACGTGTCAAGCTTTGTAAATAAATCTTTACGGGCGAGCTGCAAGTTTGTGGGGTGAGCGACGCAGGAGCAAACCCCATATTCCAGTGAGCCTATTAAAGATTAATTGCCTAGCGTGACACGTACAAACTTTTATTTTCACCTTTAGATAACGATTTTCAAATTAAATTTTAATTAATATGTCAAATGTGACATTTCATTTCATAAATTGCTTTTCTACAAGCCTGTAAAACTTTACAGGTCTTTTAAACAAGCCCGTAAAATATTACAGGTCTGTTCCCATAATGTATCGTTTACTTGGTTACAAAAACCACAAAATTAACCTATAAAATGTCATTTACTAAGAAGGTGGAAATAAAAGAATAGTATATTCTGTAACAAGTTTGGAAAACGGCATATTCCGCTCGAGTGAAGAGTTTGTCACACGAGCCGAAGGCGAGTTTGACGGTTTCACGAGAGCGGAATATGCAATTCCAAACGTGTTTCAGACTATACTTTTTCTACGTTTCCAAAAAATACCATAGAAAAATAACTTAATTGGAAGAAAGTGAGGTTGGATCGGTCTAAAATTTATTAGATATTAAAAACAGAGATGTCGCCACGAGTGTTTATTTTGTCATCAGATGATAGAATATTTCATTCTGTAACACTTTACGGAATATTTGTCATTTCATAGATAAAAGTAATATTAGAAGGGACAAATTCCGTAATAGGAGTAGAAAAATAAATTTTAACGATGTTATTAAGTATTTTAGTAAAATGAAGGCTAGAAAAAAAGTTTAACAAAATGAAGGCTACAAAACATTAACAATAGTTAAGGAAAATTCTGAAGAAGCTACCATGTAGCGAAACAATTGTCAACATTTAAATAAATTATGTGAAACTTTAAAAACATAGTTGTTTTTATATTTACATAGTTACTACAATAGTATTAATGGTACTATCTAAATAGGGATATAACATTTTTATTAATAATAATTATTCATGTTATTAAAAAAAATGGTGCGTTGATCCTCATAGCTATTTTCCACCCAAAAGACACATTACAATAGCATTTAAAAAATAATTATATCATTTCCTAAGCATACTAGGGGGCCCCATTTTATTTTACTGCCCCGGGCCCCCAACGGGCTTAGTCCGCCACTGTATACATTATCATGCTAATTAACTATTACTGCCTCAAAATATTAATTTTAAATAAACAATAAATAACAATTTATACTATGACTGTTTTTATAAGAAGCGCCTCTAGGAGTAGCATAAAAAATTATGACAAATTTGTATTTCTGGTCCTTAAAAACTATTGTGTACAAATTTTGAGTTTGATACATTGAATAGTTTTCCAAATATAACAAATTTTCAAAAATCAGATCTCACATTTATCGCCATGTATCTCGTTTATTATTAACATTTTACTAAGATATATTTGTATTAATTGACCTATTTTGACCTCCTATTTCTACAGTTGCTGTATGGTCCACCCTGTATACACACAACCAACCTTATATGGAATCACCCAATAATTACGAGAAACAGTATGTAAGGGTCCTGCGGTATATAAACTTTTAAATTCAAATTTGGCGCTAGTTTAACGAAAAAAAATTGAAATAATCTACTATAATATTATAGTTTTAAGCAATTTTATGTTTTAAAAACCTATTGAGTTTTAAAATTTCACTTCTTCGTACTTGAACGTAGAACTATTAGTGGGATTTGTTTATGTCTTAAGACAAAGAAGTTAAAATATAGATTAGGAAATAGAATAAGGGCAGTTAAAAAATTATATTATAAATATAATTATTGTATTAGGTATGTACACTTTTATAAATTGTAATTTTTGTTAGTAATGCATTAATGATAAACAACTAGGTACCAGTTTTGGGTTTTCTTAATATATTTTGCTTATAATTTTGATCATTATTATTTAATTCGCATCTTGGTCTATAACGTTTATCATTGCTAGTTTATCGAGTCCAAATCATTTTAATATGTGTAAATGGCGAGTGATTTTTGGTTATAAGATTTATTGTATTACTATTTCATTGTTTGGGTTTCATGTCTTGGAATCGCGCATACACTGAGTTTCAATCTCAAGCTTTATGTTGTCGCGTTCATCATATAAACTAAATTACATTTATCTTAAATTTTAATATTTTGTATTGTCTTTTTTTAGTTACACCTTTTGTATAACTTTGTATTTACCTAACATGTATTTTATTGTTCATGGATCTCAGTGTATCATTTCGGTATTAAGGTATTTGTACTCAGGCTAAAGCTTTTAACAATTGTATTATAATATTGGTATTACTTGGGTAAGGTTTATAAAATGCTATTGTTATTATTATTATTATTTTTGCTATTATTATTATAAAATTTGATATTACCATTAGATAATATCGCGGACAAAAAAATCGGACACCATTTGACATTCACTGGCATGCGGTGAAACAACCTTTATACCGTGGTAACCTTAATTTTTAATTGTGTCCTTTCTTGCCTATAAATCAGTATTGTTTTTAAGAAAAACTGTGTGCACTGTGTGTGCAGAATTGTTTGTATATGTTTGCAATACAGTTGTCTTGTGCTGGACATTGATTTTGTGAGATTTGAACATATTGTGATATAGGGATACTATAGTGAGATAGGAACATTAGGTTTTGCTATATCACTTCACAGAGTATGCTATTGTTCCATAGTGTGGTTATTGTCTAAGTTTAAATATCTGCCCTAAAATATATTTTTTCCATGTTTCCCCTCCCCTTTAAACCATTTGTATCGGAAATGTGTCGTTGCCGTAGTTTACTTATATAAAATCGTATACTCGTTCAATAGTTCGAAGATGCGTGGTAAGGTAAACAAATAGTACAAATCTTCGTCATAAAATGACGATCTCATAACTACTTTACCTGAGTATAAAATGTTTTAGATATTGCTGCTTTTCATGTTATTTTATTCACTTATGATTTATACTGTATTCTTGTGATTATGACCATGTTTTGTTTTGTATTTTATTTTTATTTGAACTGTGTAAGTCTCCAGGGTTTTTATGGTTCCTTTTCCCTGTGCTCTGACTCAACGGGCCACCCCTTTTTCTTTGCTTAAATCAGGTTTTTCAAATAAAATGCTTGTTTTATTAAACCTGACCAATTTCAAAAAAACGTTATTAGCAATGTACCTACGTAAAAACACATTGTAGAGTCCTATTTTTTATAAAGTAAGTAAATTAACTAGATGATCACAAATATGCCAAAATAGGTATTTCAGTATTCTTAAAGAATTGGGTTACAAAAATACATAGTATACCTTACAAGTATTTAACTTCAAATTTTGTATTGAACAAATTTATTTATAACAAAAAATGTTAATTTCTCTGAGAATAAACTTTACGGTAAATTCAAATTTAAAAAGAAATAATAGGTTTTTGTTAATTAAATAATAAGTATTGTCACCACTAGCATCAATGCAAGCATTAATTCGACAAGGCATGCTTTCTATTTGTTTATGAATTTCTTCTTGGAAAACATTTCCTCACCCCTCTAAAACTGCTTTTATTAGTTTCTCTGTATTGCCAGAGCTATTTTGACGAGCTATAATCCTTCTTTAAGCCTTATTCCACAAGTTCTCAATTCGATTAAGATCCAACAAGAAGGACACTCTACAACAGTCACACCTTCCATTTCCAAACAATTTTTGGCAACTCTGCTGGTAAATGGAGGTGCATTATCCTGTACAAATCACGGAAAGCACCTTTTTGGAGCCTTACTACGGGTTGTAGAACTAAATCCACATACCTTGGACCTCTTAGGGATGGTCTAATGGGAGTCAAAGGAATGTTTCCACCAATCATAAAGCCACCCCAAAAAATTACACTTCCTCATTTGCCTTAAGGGATCGATTGTCTAGCTTCTCCCACGACCTCTTAAAATACGAATTCACCGGTCGTCTGATCGTAGGCCAATTCTGGATTTATCCGAAAATAAGACATTTCTCTAATCTTTAACTGTCCAGTTTTAATGCTTTAAATACCAATTTAAATGGCCAACTATATTTTGCAGTAATATTTTTGGAACCCTTAACTGTGTTCTGCAATTTTTTTATGCTGGATAATGCACCACCTCTGATAAGCAGAGTTGTTAAAAACTGTTGAGAAATGGAAAGTGTGGCGGTTTTAGAATGGCCTTCTTGTTCACCGGATTAATCAAATTGAGATCTAATGGAATAAGGTTAAAACAAGGATTAGACCCCATACAACCCAGCAATGCATAGCAACTAGTAGAAGTAGTTTTAGAGGGGTGGGAAAAAGTTTAACAAGAAGAAATAAAATAACTTAATAAAAAACATGCCTCCTCAAATTCGTGCTTGCATTGAGGCTATATGTGGAAACACTGATTATTAATTTAACAAAAACCTATTATTTTTACCTACATTCCCACATTTTTTGTAATCTGTTCTCTAGAAAATTTGTTTTAATAAATTTTTCTTTGTTTTTGTAATAAAATTGGTTCAGATAAAGTGCTTTTTATTTCCAAATCACTTTTTTTTAAGTGGAATAATGTTTCTTGTAATTACTGAGTGATTCCATAGTTTGGTAGTGTGTATTTCTGATTGAGTAACACACACAGGTTTCTGCACACCTAGGTGCTACTTAATCCATTGTTTAGAATTATACTAAAAAAATATATAAAATTGTTGTGTAAATGTTTCATAAATGTTTTTTTTGTATAAAAATGTTGAATTTTTAAGGCATTTTTCTGAAAATTTGGACCACCCTCCCCCTTGGTGAGATGTGGTAGACCCCCCTAATCCCTCATGTGAGATTCTAGCTATGAAACTTTCTTGGCAGACAAAATTATAAACCCCAAAAAGTTAATTAATTTTTTTAACAAATTTAAATTAGAAAACATATTCTTTAAACTCAAAAGTTGACGTGAGATTTTGCTAGCCCCCCCCCCCCCATTTTTATCTCACGTAATTAATGGTTGCCTCCTAATTGATTATTAAATAAAAATCCAAAAGAAGTTTCACTTTAGCTTTGAAATATTAAAACTTTGTTATTGTGTTTCTTACCTTGCAAATTCTGCTCCAAGCAGAAATCAAGTAGCTGGTCTGCGGATCGTCGTCCGGCAGTTCAGCGCCATCCCCGTGAGTTTTCAAAAGCATGTCCATGACTTCAGTGGCGTCGGCCATGAACTTTTCCGGGCCAACAGCCATACCGATCAGAGTGACGCATTCGATGGTTTTACCTCTTAGCAATTTCAAATCGTCCTTGTTGGCGTTTTGGATGATGTATTTCAGACAGGGCATCAGCCTGTCGTAGTAAGCGATGAATTCGTTTTCGGCGGTATCGGCAACGCTGGCAATGGTGGTGACCACCTGTTCCAAGACGAGCTTGGTGCCTTTCTCAACCAGTTCTTTGAATTTGGCTGTCAGGATGCCTTCAAGTTTGCTCATCAACGGATCCAGATACCCGCTTAGAATGTGTTTGGGGCACTCTTCGGCAAAGTTGACCAAAGCAGCACCGGCGTGCGCCTGCACGCGAGGGTTGGCGTTGTCATCCAAAAGCATCAACAAACCCGGAACCACCTTGTCGTGGAATTTCTTTTCGAACACGGGCGCGAAATCGGTCGCCATTTGACCTACAGCGTTACACGCGGCATACCTCACCCTTGGATGTGGATCCTGCAGGTATCTCAAGACCCCACCATCCATAATCTCAGAGAGAATTGCCTCCATTTGCTTGTGGCAACCTTCTCCAATCGCACTCAAAGCCATAAGGGCAGCGTGACGTGGTTTCCAGTCGGGACTGGCCAACATGGCGGGCACGCTGGCTGTCACCAGCGGTAGAATGATTTTTCCGCCCAATCCGCAAGCCAGACGATCGAGGGCGGCCTCGGCCACCACGTTATTGCAATCGTTGTCTTCGTCGAGAAGATCGTCCGACTCAGCCCAGCCTTCTTCCTCTTCCAGATCGGCCATGAAGTGCAAAATGGTCGGAACGAGTTGTTCCATGTATTTGCCGACGTTCTTGCGCACCATAGCTGGCGCCATCTCGGCCAGAGTGACCATAACTTCCAAGGCCAACTGTCTGAACGAGTCCAATGCGTCGTTGTTGGTGAAAATCTTCATGCACATCTCGTAGATGTTCACCAGTTGCGGTCGCAAGTATTTCGGGGTGTTTTCAGCCAAATCAATCAGCACCTTCAACAACGTATCGTCTTCTTGTTGTTGCACGCTCTCTCCGATAACTTGCAACATGGGAGCCAACAAATCGGCGTAGTGTTTAAGGATTTGCGTTTCCTTGTCGTTTATCAAAATGAAAGCTCCTACGGCTCTGACCGCTTGGAATCTGACTTCGTAAGATTCGGTCGGTTGAAGGCTTTGCATCAACATTTGCTTGATTAGGTCTAGGTAGTTGTTTTGCTGGTTGCCAAACACTCCAGGCACACTTGTGAACATTTGCAAAGCTGCTTCTTTAAGAACGGGATTTTGGTCGTTGGCGCAATGGAAGAGAAACTGAAATAGTTAATAACAAATACCAAATTTAATATTGATGACCCAGACAATACTAAAGCTTTATAATAGAGTTATATTAAAGTAGACAGAAGCAATAATAAATGCTAGCAGTTTAACTACGGTTTCGCGAAAGGATCGAACGGTCGATTTGCAAGGGTTCAAGAAATCGATTGAAACTTTTTTACCTTATTTCTACATCTTAATGCAGTACTTTTTTCAAAAAAAAAATCTCGTCCATTGACAACTTTGTTTTTATTTTAATTTTTTTCTTCACTGTGTTAAAAATGAAGAAATTTCATTTTTTTTAAATATCTTTTTTATTTCAAAACGTATCGATTTGAAATTTGGACAAAATGTAGATCTTACTAATGACAATTAATCCATGAAAAAATTTTGTTTAGATTATAACGTACAGGGGGCGCTGGTGATAATTTAGTTTAAAATTTGACAATTTTTAAAGGGTAAATAATCGAAGAAGCAACTTTGTTTTATAAATTTGAGTATAGCACGTGAAAGTATTGATATTTGACTATTATTTAATATATTAACTTTTTTATGCAAATGATGTTTCTGTGGCCAGGATTTTTATACAAATATTGTTTTATCTTTTATTAATAATTAAGTAAAGCATAACACATAAATGACGTTTAATATACAGGGTGTTTCACGTACTTAGTCCGTTGGAAGTTTCTAGGGAATCGCGAAAGACATCGATTTAAAATTTTAATAGCGTAAAGTATTCGCTTTAGACTCTTTTCCTAAATTATTTTAAACAAAATAATACTTCCTGTTTTACCGGAATACCTCATATATTTTTACATTATTTAATTCTACATAAAATTCTTAGTAAAATGGCTATACCATATCCTATACCTAAAGTCAATATTTTTTGAGTTATTATTTTTTCAATCAAATATTTTAATTAATTTTAAACAATGACAGATTTGGTGGTAACCATGGATACTGTTACATTAAACCACATGTAGAATTTCAGAGGTTTGTTGATACAAAATATTAGAAATTGTTAAATGTCTCTGAAAATTTAACTTTAGGAAAGAGTTACTATAATACCAATCGAAAGATTCTTTAATGTACTATTTGATTATGTTAAAACATACAGGGTTTTACATTTATAATAAAAACGTTGTTATTGTTTAAATTTCGCCTAATTTCAAGTGGTTTTTCTCAAGGTATTTGTTGAAAAACCTTTAAAAACTAAACAATGTTATAATATTCCAAAAATTCCAACCCCATGTCAACAAACAAATTAGAGGCTATTTTGATTAACGTGCATTTTAAAAAAAAAAATTAATATCTTGAAAACTATTGGCTTTATGTATAGTCTAAATCAAATTGTATATTCTATTAAAATTTCAAATCCACACCGTTTGCCTTTCTCCAGAAACACCCTGTATAGCATTATATTGCAAATGCAAAATAACTAATTACAAAAAATCGAAAAAAAATGAATAAAAATATAAGTATATCTAAATAGCCGATTGCAACATAAAAAGTCTTTATTCTAATTTATTTATTGGGTAAATATTACTTTCCTCAGTTAGGAATTAAAATTGAAGCTTGTTTATCGAGTAAAACATAAATTGAAGCTTGGTTGTGGAGCAAAAAATAAAATTAAAGTAGTTTATAATTTCTAACTTGCTGATACTGTCTATACTTATTATTTAGTGTATTCATTTTAATAAATTATTATTTTAAGTTTATAGTACACTTATAAATTGAAACGCAATCAGTCATTTGCAACTTATAAACTGAACTGTTAAATTATCTTTCATGCTTCCAATGGTAGGTTACCATAGAGATAAGTCTGTGATGCCTACTATGATCAAAATTAGTAAACTTAAAAAAAATTTAAATTTATAAATAAAACTAATTTTAGCTCCATCTATGGCGATTTTTTTAAATAAATATGTAAGAATTGTATGTTATATATAAAATATTGTATGTAATATATAATACATTATCTTATAAAACTAGTTAAAAGAATTTATAATTTGTAAAACACGTTAGTATTACGCTCTTTGAAGGCTTAACTTAAAAATGGTGTCTCTCGTAAAAACATAATTTGCATTTAGAAGTTTATATATCAAATAATAGTTAATTATCAGTACTTTAACGTGATATACTCAAAATTATAAAACAACGTTGCTTCTTCGACTTTTTAACCCTTAAAAAATGGTAAAATTTTAAATTAAATTGTTCACCGTGCCCCCTGTATATTAAAATCTAAAAAAAATAATACGTGGATTTATTGCCACTAATAAGATCTACATTTTAACTTAATTTCAAATCGATACGTTTTTAAATAAAAATGTTATTACAAAATATCGAAATTTATCTATTTTTAACACAGTAGAGTGACTTAAGGCCTGAAAACCACAGGGGTCAATGGATGAAATTTTTTTTTTGAAAAAAAAATACCATTTAGATGTACAAACAAGGTAACACAAATATATTCAATTCTGGCATCACTTGCAAACAAATGTCCAAAATTTGTTCGATTTTTACGCGAAACCATAGTTAAAACAGGAGTAAGTAGTAACACTTAATGACTGGGAATCTGAACTTTATAATCCCATAATTTTTGTTTAATTTAATTTTGTATCCAGTGAGTTTTATTAAGGCTAAGAATTTTTTAGTTTTATAAATTCGAATTCGTTTGAAAATTATTTTGAATATTCGACCTATTTGAATATTCAAGTATTCGAATATTCGGGTATTCGAATATTCGTCTACCTACTCGTATATTTGAATATCGAGTATATATTCGAATATTCAAATAATCGAATTTTTAAATATTCAAATATTTACCAGGTCCAGTGAAGTTTCACTAGTTTTAGAGATTTTTTAGCCAATCTAGAGATTTAATATTGTATCTGTTTTTTGCTTATCAAACAGATAATAATAATAATTATTATTATAAAAAGTAATTATTAAATCTCTGGGCTATTTTTTTTTAGTCTTCTACAAAATAATATTAGTTTATCATGCTTTAAAAGCTCTTAAAAAATCAGCTCAATTGATTAAAAAAATTAATGGTCGCACAATTATTTTTGAAAATTCAAAAAATGTTGAAAAATTTTGACTAAAAATTCGAACAATTTTTTGGTCAAAATTCGAAGTCTTGCTTGCCACGGTAAATTTTTGTAATAAGTTTTAGCTCTGAAGCAAAATCTACTTACACCCTAGATAATATTTCGGTCTTTTTGGCTAAAATTGCACGTGAAAGCAGCGGGTTGCCGCAAATTTTGCCTACAAATACCTATTAATTAGTAATTAGTAATAGGTACTGTTTAAAAAGAAGCGACTATATCGATTTTTTTCGAAAATTTGTGAGTGACCTTTAATAATTCATTTTTGAAACTTAAAAAAACTCATTAATTTTTGGTGTACAAAAATTTACTGTGACGAAAAAATTATTATTTTAAATTCGAATTTGATTATTTTTGTAGTTTTCAAAATTCGTAAGCCACCTTATTTTTAATAAGAGCTCTTATTTTTTTTAAATAAATACTGATTTAAAATGTTTTAATATTAGAGTAGGTATTCGAATATTCGAATTATTCATAATTGATTCCCAGCCTTAATTTTTATCACGTCATTACAGCCGAGTTTCAACGATGATATTATAGAAAATGTAGTGGTAGGTATGTTTCTTTGGAATATTAGAAAATTAAATAAAATTGACTTTTTTATTTACAATCTAGCCCCTAAGTTATACAACAGTCTCTTTTCAAGATAATCTCTGGTATGAAGTACACAATATTAATTTTGATCATATTCCTTTTTGGTAGTAATAAATAAGGGTGCAAAAGTAATCACCTAATTTCCCAAGGCTTTAACTTTTTTGTGAATAAAAAAAACAGTTCTGTTTGTGAATATTGTTTATTTGGACCATTTTTAGTTGATGCACATTTGGGGAAAAAATGTAAAGGTCCAACTAAACAATATTTACAAACAAAACCGATTTTTTCATTTTCAAAAAAATTATAATAATAATAATAATAATTTATTCATACGTAATTCTTGTTACAGGGTGTATATGTCATATATAGCCTTGGGAATTCAGGTGATACCATTTGCGCCACATTGTAAATTTTAAAAATATTATTTTTAAAACAAACCAAGGTAAGGTTTTTTAAAATATGTAGGAAATCCAAAAATTATTATAGGTACAAATGTACAATGGTGGACATCTTAATTAGGTTGTCCTTGTATGATTCTGTAAATAGCAAAGATACCAATAATGACCATTTTTGATTTTGCTGTAAGGTTAGTTGTACATAAAGGAAGTTTAGATTTTGATGTCAACGAAATGATAGTCATTTGAAATTCCATATCCCCCATTGTAACATTTTATATTATTGGGTTCTTTTGTGAAAGTACCTATTTTCATATGGTTTTAATTTATTTTGGCAGTTTTTTTTCATGTAATTTATGTTATATTTGTATGCAATACAATAATTAATATTTGTACATTTCAAGTATTGTTTTAAATTCTGAAAAACATTACAACTTGAAGATAAGTTATTGTATGCCATTCGGCCCAGAAGGTCTTTAAGCTCAGTACAAAGACTCACTTTTTGGCCTAATGACATAAATAACCATTATTTTTATGTTTTAAATAAATTATTGTAATAATTTATTTTAAAAATACATTAAATAAATAAAACATTTTTAAATTATTTAAATAACTCCAAATACCATGCAATCATTGTATTGACTGCACTACTTTTAAAACTATTTTTGTTTTTTATAATTCCTTAATTATCAGTAAATACCTACTCATAAAATGAATAAATTATCAGAATTTCCAACATAATTACTCATAAAACTAAATTTAACTCAAATATGATAAATAAATTATGAAATTTAAATGAATAAAAAAAATTGAAGCAATCATGCTAATTGCCCCTTTGACTTTGAAATGAAACAATTTTTATCATCAAATTACTAACTAATTGCAATGAAACACCAAATATTGATTAACCAAATTAGCTGATAATAAGTGCAGCATTGTCAAATTGATAAGATAAACAATTACCTGTAAAAATTCTGGCCACTGATTATTTCCATCATCATCAATTAAGTTTCTAGCAACTTCAGCTACAACTTCACAAACTTTGTGACGTAAATTAACAGATTGAACTTGCTGTATGGCTAATAGGACCTGCTCTCTCATAGCCCTTTGGCTTTCAGCTGGCAATTTTGGGTAAAAGTCCATAAATTCGCTGGAAAATAGCCGCCGCAAAAGTACAGCAGCCATTTGGCGGGCCTCTTCTCCCAAATTTGCATTGTGTATAGCCAAAATCAGGTGGCTCACCTTAGATTCGACTGGTAAATTGTTATAGGCTTCCTAAATATTAAGAAAAGTATTTATTAGTCAATAAAACTGAAATTGATTTGCTTAAATGTTTATTATTTAAAATCAGATCAATTCTTGTGGCAGAATAATAGTAGTTAAATTGTTTAAATTAATATGAAAATCATTAGGATTTTACTGCTTTTACTCTAGAACAGCTGCATTTTGTATATAATTTTTGAAATGTTTATAATGTATTATTTAAAATTGTTTTAAAAATATAAAAAAAATTATAGCTTTACTTTTTGACTAAAATGTGCCCCTAGTAAAGTTTTGCTTTTAAATAATAAATATTAATTAAAATTAAAAAAGAATATATATTTCTTAGAATAAAGAAGTGAAAACATTCAATTATTTAAAAAATATAGTGACCTTAAAAGTATATTAATTGGCGCCTTTTTGTCTATAAATAGAACGGCTTTTCCAAATCATAAATTCATTTAAATTTAAGGCGTATTTAACCCATACCCAAATTAAGCATACAAGAATAAATGGACACCCGAAGAATACTAAAATAACACCGTGATGAATCATACATTAAAAATGAAGAATTCCAAAGACCATGCTGTAAAATTAGCGGTACACGTTTTTATAGCAGAAATTTAATTCGAAATATCTGTCAGGTTGTATGTTGCCTCCCCACAATTTTTACACCAATTAATGCACAAATTAATACGGAATTAATTACGTACCTCAGCCTGCGTCCGGATGGCATTATCTGTGGATAAAAGGGTGGTCAGAATTTGATAAAATTGCTCTTGATCGGCGGCCATGGCGCCTTAACATGAAAGAACACTGACAGGTCAAAACTGCCACTGCCTATAATCTAAAAAGTAAAGTCCCTAAAACACATTTAACCTTATTTTTATTTAGTTTCTTATTTTTGGCAACATTGGCACTTATAGATTCCTGTAATAGTTCAACAGCAGCTATTTAATAGCTGTTGGTCAACCTGGCTGTCATTTGAAAAGTTGTGTTTATCACGCCTGTTGTTTCTAGAATTTAAAAATAAAAAAACTGAAATAAAATTATGGCCGATGATGAATATGATGAAAACGACGTTCGCGATGATTTCGAAGATGACGTAGACGATGATAACATCGAGGAACTTGAGCAGCCCGAGGAAGAAGGGGATCACATTGATATTTTAGCGCCTGGACAGGCTGGGGGTGGTGTGCCAAAGAGTAAACGTATCACAACGAAGTATATGACTAAATATGAGCGGGCTCGGGTATTAGGTAAGCAAGTTTTTATATAAAATTACTACAAGTGAATTAATGTTATAATTGGTTAATTTTGATGTAGGTACTCGAGCCTTACAGATAGCAATGTGTGCTCCAGTTATGGTGGAGTTGGATGGAGAAACTGATCCTTTACAAATAGCTATGAAAGAATTAAAACAAAGAAAAATCCCTATTATTATAAGAAGATATTTACCAGATCATTCCTATGAAGATTGGGGTATTGACGAATTAATTATTATTGATCATTGATGTCTCATTACTATAAGATTATGTATATATTTTTAAAATAAAACATTAAGCTATTTTTATGTTTTATTTACAAATAAATAACTTAATCAGGCCCATACAAATTGGCATATCTCATTTTTGTGTTCAACTCATCATCATCTGATGTTGTTATTGTTTTTGGGGGTATTAAGGCCCCTGCTACATTTCTACCTTCTGAATTTAAAAAATTAAATGTTGAACAAGCTTGTTCTGTGGGCATTACTTCAAATGCAATTTTAAATTGTTTTGAAAATGGTAATAATTTATGAACAAAATTGAAATCTTTGGCCCTATCTCCTACACCTACAACTAAAATGTCTAGTTTTGGTTCTAAAATTTTAAATAAACTAAGGGACTCTTCATTTATATCCTCTAAATCATTTACATTCCAAGATAATACAGACCTAAAAGTTATAATTTGTTAAAAGCATTTAAAACTAAAAATAAGCAATTTTAAATTACTTTGGAAATATCACCATGGGCCCCAGAACTGTAAAACCATTATTTAATCGAAAACCAACCTAAAATATTGAAATTCAACATGTTATGTAATAAAACGTAATAATAACCAAACCTGACTAAACCCGTCTATCATTAAACCCATATCAGCTTCATTATTTAATATATTTAGGGTTGTTTTGCCATCCCCTTCATAAGTGCTTGTGCCTAATAACCATTTTGATTTGTGTAGTTTACGCCTTAAATGTAGCAATTTTTACTACGTAATAATTAATTATGCAATTTTTACTTACCTAATAGTTGAGTTAAAGACTTGTTTTGTTAAATTTTGGGCTATTTTGTTTAACATATTCAAATTTTTATAATTTTAAGGTTAGGTTTGACATTTTAGACCGACAAAACAGGGATTTGGAATGAGGATTTAAAGCGGGAAATTTAAAACAAACAGTGCGATGCGTTGATGCCAAATGTTTGTTGCCGGCTTTGAATAAAAGGTTTTTTATTCAAAGTTTGCCGGTAATGCACAGAAACGTACAGTTAATTTTTTTTTTTGACTCGTGTTTTTTTATTAAGTTGGTACTTATGCCAGTTTGATTTAGTATTAAAAAATGGTACTTCTGCTGAAGACCTTAATTAAATACTACGATGGTCCAGAGATGGATGGTTCTTAACCCTTATGCAGGCGCACCTCTTTATGCAACGTAGTAGGTCGCGCGGGGTGTCATAGACACCCCTGATGGCAAAGCGTCCCTGAGTGTTATTTACATTTTTTTTTGTTTTTTTTAAGGTTATCAAGTTAGGATGAGCTGAGAGACAATGAGAACATATTTCGTTGCGTTCAAATTTGATAAAAGATGACAAAAAAAAGAAAATGTCAAAAGACGACAATTTTAATCAAATAAAGCATTAATTTAAAAAAAAAAACAAATTTTAAAAGTCATAATAAAAATAAAAACAAAAAAAACACTAAGCACTCAATACAGGGGTGATTTAAATAAAAACACATTAGGAAAAACCGAAAGAAACAGCCGTAAAATTTAAATTTGTACAATTTTGAATTAATTTGAATAGATGGCGTTCGCGAGGGGTCAATCACCCAAAGGAAAAACGTCCAGGGATTCCCATGTATTCCCATTATATTTTATTGTATTCCTATGTATTTCCATTGTATTCCTATGGAATTCCCCCTCTAAAATGTCCCCTATAACTATAGGTATATGACTGCTACTTAAAATCTGGCAATGCCACTTTAAATTTGACACTGCCACACAGACCTACAAACTAAATAAATAAACTAACCTATGAAAAGAAAGCTTTAAATTCTTGGATCCAAGTCTTTTACAAACGTAGCACTGCTTCACCATTTTTATATCACTCACTATTGGTATTTTTCACTATAAAATCAAATAAAAAATATTAAATGTTGTGGATTCCAAGTATCTTTTACGTAAAATATAGAAACTTCAAAGTCAAATGTGACAACTGAGGGAAAATATTTATTTTTGTTCCTGGCCACTCTTTTCAATGTAAATAAACCGGTCCATCTTGTTTGTAGGTCTGTGCACTGCCACTTAAAATCTAGCAGTGCATTTTAAAAACATACACTGCCTGATTTTGCTATAAAAAACATAGTGATGGCCCTTAAGAACCATCGTAAAATACACTGTCAAATTGACAATAATATTTATTAATGATATTTTATATGTTAAATTAACATTGTTAATTATTATATATTATCGATATAAAAAGATAACTATACCAATAATAATATATATGATACCAGATTCTAAAGTAAAAGAACTTTTAAGGGCAAAATTTCATTTTGATAAAGTTATACCAAATGACAGAAAAAGTAGGCGATGTACTTTTGGACATTTTTGAATTTATAAAAGTAACGTTTTTGGCTTTACAAATATTAATTTTGTAATTAAATCACACATTATTTTTAGCTAGGCAGATCAAAAATTTGTGAAATTTAAAAAATAAGGGAAATAAAAAAAAAATTATTTGCTGTTAGGTTCAACCTTTCTGTGAAAAATCTAGTAGTTAACTTTCCTGCAGACATGTCTTTGAAAATAGCATCCATTTGGTTTGAAAAAGATAAGCAATAATCACGAAACTTCTTTCAATTTGCAAGTTACTGCAGTAATTACCATAGAAAAAGGATAATTACTGATCATGATCAGTAATGTAATTGTTCAATGTTTGGACAACATTCACGTGTGTTCACATAAAATTTTAATTTTTTATATAAATTCTTTTCAAAGGGAAGATTAGGTGCATCATGCTCACTTAAAATAAGAAATAAGATAAAAAGTTAAAACTGTGTAAAGTAAAGGTTGCGTTCATGTTCATAAAAATATGATATGACTAAAGATAAATAACTTTGGTTTTAATTTTTGCGTATAAAACTGCGCAAAGGACAAAATAGGTCTGTGAATTGATTTTATGGGTTTTATGTGCTGGCCATGGATCCATGGTATTGGAGATCGCGTTAAGTGTCGCTGTCGATTGTTTACGTTTATAGCCAATATATAAATTATATAATATAATCCACTATAATGAAATATAATTGTGACAACATCGCGATCTTATTTCTTATTTTAAGTGAGCATGAATACGCCTATTATTAACCGCTAGGAATACTTTGTCTCTCCTGGGGCATAGTCACCTATATTTAACTACTTTTTTATATGATTTTACTCATCTACGCACCACCAAAGACAAATTAATTGCATTTTTAACCAGGAATTTTGACAACCAAACTTGACAACCGTTCAATGTGACCTACAATAATTTAAACATGAACTTTATTAAAACTAAAAATTAAGATAAAATATTTATTTTACAATTATGTTTTTTTAAATTAAGTTATATTTACAATGTAAGTTGATAAAATATTAAAATTAAAACAATAGTTGTTTAGCTTTTAATTCCGGAATCATTTTTAAAATCGTTTATCGTTATAGAATCAGGATGATATTTTTTAATATGAGTTGTTAAAGTCCCTGTTAGAGAAAAGGTTTTTTCGCACAAAGTACAGCTGTAGGGCCTTTCTCCCGTGTGAGTTCTTAAATGGACTTTAAGTGTGGATGACTGGTAAAATCCTTTGTTGCATATTGTACACAAATGACTTCTATCCCCTAAAATAACCGAAAGAAACTGTTAAGACTATACAGGGGCCCCTGATTTTAAAGCAATACCTGTGTGCGTTTTGACATGAACTCTAAGATCTTCGCTGCGCGGGAAGGCTTTGGGGCACAGCTCGCACGCATACGGCTTCTCGCCGGTGTGTATGCGCATGTGCTTCTTGAGCTGCGACGAACTGACGCAGCCGCGACCGCACGTTACGCAAATATATGGCTTCTCGCCGCTGTGGCTGCGCGCATGCACAGTAAGCCGCGACGGGTCGGGGAATCCCTTGCCGCACGTGTTGCATACGTATGGTTTCTCGCCTGAAATATTCATTAACGTCACGACATTGGGAATTGACTTGTAACAGCCGAGTCTGGAATTTTTAACTCACTACTGTTACAGTCATGTATTGTATTATTTATTTCATACGTTTATTTTGATTTTTACTCATTAGATAAATATAATTATTTTATAATAATTATTATAATTTAAATAATAATAATAATAAAAAATTTATTCTTTTTTACATAACTATTCCATGACTTAAAGAACTAACATATCACACACCCAGTTCAAGACCACCGTAATTAAAAAAACATTGAAATGAGATAATCAAGTATGAAGTATTGCAAAAGTTAAAGGAATTTTTTGAAGAAAGTACGGACGACAATAACCTTTTGCAACCGCTGCATGGCAAATCCAATGGCTTTTAATCTGTATATTTCGTAAACGTCTATATTTATTTTTTAAAAAGATTTTATTTCATTATTTAAAGAAATGTTGGTATTGCACTACAAGTTTGTCTCATATTTTCTAATTATGTTGCATTAATAAGGTTTATGGCATTTTGACTTTTTTGTCACACTGAATAAAACAGCTTTTTGTTAATCTAATTTATTTTATCTACTTCTACATTGTTTCTAAGTTGTTACTTTATGGCATTTTAGTCATGGGCTGAAGATAACAACCGTGGCTTTTGGGCATTTTAGTCACATTATAAATTGCGAAAAAGTTAAATTTTATTATATAAAATTGGCTATAAATTCTTATTTCTGTTCGTCGTAAATAAAGTATTGTATGCAACTCGTTTTATAAACTTCTCTAGGCACTCGTTTTTATTAAACACTAGCTCCCAAGCTTCGCTAGTGCCTAATAAAACTCGTAACTAAAATGGTGCTTATTAAATTTGATACATAATATACTATTAATCAAACAAAAAAATAATATAATATTTATTAAATTAAGAACTATAAGTAACAAAACTGATAAAACTTCTTCCAGGTTGATTTTTTTTTAGAGAAATTAGATTGATTTAGGCACCATGTATTTTTTTATATGGTGGGTGCGCACTTGGACAATACAGAAATTTCAGTGCAATATAAATGTATGTGTAATAAAGTTCTAAAAAATAGAATTCAAGCTATGATGGTTTCTTAAATCTATTCTAAGATTGTATTTAAAAACCACCATAACTCAAATTGTTGATTTTTGAGTTATGGTGTTCTTGAACTGGATGTGCGATATTTTATTATTAATTTGCTTTTTTGCCCTTACCTGTATGTGTTCTTCTATGTATTATTAAATTGCTAACAGTGGTGAACCCTTTTCCGCAAAATTGACATATGTGGTCTTTAAGACCTGTGTGGGTTTTCATGTGTATTGCCAAAGAACCAGATCCGCACAAACTAAAAAACATGCAAAATATTATTTACATAATATAAAAATACCTGCATGAAAAAATATTTTTTTAGTAAAAAAATATGGAAAATATAAAAACTCGCAAATAGTCGCCGCATCGAATGTTTTTTGCTGCGTCATCAATTTGTGAACCTAGCACAGATATTAAGCATGATTTATAGATTGCCTTCCTTCCTTCCTTCCTCCCGTAAAAGAAGAACAATACAAAAACTCTAGTTTTGTTTATAAATTCCCGTACGGGAATCTATAAACACACTACGCCTTTCGTATTCTTCATCTTTTACGGGAGGAAGGGAGGAAGGAAGGAAGGCAATCTATAAATCAGTCTTTACAATTAGCTATTTTCTTTGTCGCCAGGGCGTATTAGGGGTGTGTTCCGGACGTATGTCGACAAACCGGTTTTTGACATTGATGACGCAACGGAAAACATTCGCCGCGGCGACTATAGTAAATTTATAAACAATATAATATAATATTTTTTAAATTATCAAGGTGGCGATGGAAATGACGAGTTCTAGAATCAGAATTTTGAAAATACCTTCTTGGAATTTGTCAAGGAATTTTTAAAATAATTATAATGTATACATCTTCTAAAAAAAATTAAAATAGGCCCCAAGAGAACCAAGTTTTGGGAAAGAAATTAGAGTCTGTCCATAAATCTCGTGACGCTAGAAATGGTCAAAATTGACCCCCTCCCTTGCAACAGAATGCGACGATGTAAAGACCCCCCAAGGAGTCATGTAACAAATTATCAAATCCCCTACCTCCAACATTATTTTTTTCGATTCTTTTTTAAGTCGTTACCATAAATATGGTTAATAAACTTAGTTAATGGTTAATATATTTTCGCGTTTGGATTGCGTTATAAAATCTTATAAAATTTTAGAACGCACTCCATCTGGCCAAGTTAGTTATTATAGTATAGTTATTTAACATGCTTAATAGTATTTCTTCAATTAATTTCTTTGGAATCCCATTAAAACTTTAAAAAATATGTAGAATCACCATAAAATAACAATAATTAATGTATAAACTTTAAAAACTGCATTAATCTGGTCTATAGGGCCTTTCTATCTCAAATAGACTAGGCAAAAAAGGTCGTTATTTTTTAACAAAATTGTTTTTACAGTTTTTCTACTGGAATCGATGAGACCAGTATTTTTTCTTTTTGCTTAAATTTGTTTTGTCCACCCATAAGTCGTTTTTTCGCGTAAATACTATGTAATACTACGGTTAAATAAGTCATGACGTCACAGTTAATTCGTATAACCATGGTTAGGTTTCTAACAGTTGACATTTGTTTACTTGTTCATAACCTATAATTTTTGAAATGTGATTTTACCTATTTATATTTCATTTCTATACTAGTTTTTTCAATACACGTTATCAAATTCTCCTAGTTTAATACAAAATAAGGAAGAATATAAAATAAACCTGCATATAATTCCTCCACTTGTGGAGATTCCATTTATTCCATTTATTTTCACTGACAACACCCCGTTTACAGGGCCGGCAGCTTTTCATTTTGACGTGTGGTGCTCATCTACAGTTGGTTCGTAACAGTGGTTAATGGATGGGGGTGTGGGTGTTCTTAGAGTTGGGGATGGTCAATTGACCGCGATCAATTGACCAGTCAATTGACCGCTACCTATTTGACCGGTCAAAATATACAGACTGTATAGAATCAAGTAAGTAAGGCTGGAGACAAGGATGACAAATTATATTCTGATCAGAGGAAAAGAAACAAACTTTAATTGGGCGTGGTTTAAACCAAGCCATTCGTAATTACGAACCATAGTTGCCAGGTTGTTTTAAATCAGAAGAGTACGATTATAATTATTTAATAAATAGTTCAATTTTATTTGTTTGAAACTTTAAAAATAACAAAAAAATTAATATTATGTCAAAAATAATTTGATTTAGTTAATTTTCTTACTTTTAATATTAAAAAATAAGAAAAACAACCCTTTTAGGAAACAATAATAGCATATGGCAACAGCGCGGCATGCCGCGGATTGTAGCTACACTGGGTAAAGGCCTATTTTGAAACATATTTTGAAATAAAGTTTGTATTTGGCGATACGGCGATACCATAATTTGGTATTTTTCCTCACGGGTAAAAACCATTTTATTTGAGAAAATACTTTTTTATTCTTACAAAGACGTACGCAAAGTCTCAGTGCACTTCTTAAACTGACGCACAGACAGTGTTGCCAGTAGTAGAAAAATTAAAGTACTGAAATGGCAATAAAAACGTATTGAATTTGAAAGATAACGTACTGACTTTGAGAAATAAATATTAAACTTATATGAACGTAATTTTTATTTTGTAATTTATCAATAAACACATGCACATAAATAAACTATAAACATCAAAAGAACAAAATAGATAATTATTATTATACCTATACAAAAAACAATATTGTTGGTAAAATTAAAAAATAGTCTACATATCGATAATTAATTTTCTTTTTTAACAAAGATTGAGGTATTTGGCTTCAATAATTCCTATTATTCCTATGAGCGGTTCTTGGCGAACTTGGAACAAACCTTATGTCAACACTAAGTAGACAACGCGCGCTACCAACAGTTTAAAACTTAAAATACCAGGATACTCAGTATCACCAACCTAAACTTTCAATTTTTTCTTTAATTTTTATTTAAATAAAGGGAAAAAAATCTAAAACTGGAAAACGTACCGAAAACCATCAACGAGGTAATTGCTTACTTTTTTTAATTTGAAAGTACTGAATTCGGTACAAACGTACTGACGCTGGCAACACTGCGCACAGATCATACGACATACAAATTCAATCCCTACCACAGTGGGCGTGGTTTGGCACTTGTTTTATTTAAGTGTATCTATTCGTTTTAATACACACTGTATTTAATTTTTGCAGCATTTTATTTAGGTATCAACAATTACCCGTGAATCTCACTGCGATCGTGCAATATCAACATCATTTACAATTTGGTGGTTCCCCGAGTCGAGGGGTTGCTAGGCCGGACGGCGCTTTGCCCTTAAAGCGGGACATATCTTTTTTAATAGCAAAACATAACTTTTTAAAGCCGCACAAACGTTTCTAAAGATGGACATCACTTTTATAATAAAAAAAAATGTTAACGTATTTTAATTAAGTACCTATTTATTAAGTACAAATAAATCACAGTAATATTTATTTTGATATTTTATTTAATTTAATTTTGGTCAATTTACCGGTCAAATGACTGGTCAATTGACCAAAAACAATTTGACCGGTCAATTCCACAACCCTAGGTGTTCTATTCCTTGGGGGTTGCGGAGAGGAAAACAAAATAAAATTGGAATAGTTTTTTAGTCAATTTATTTATCAAACTCAGTCACATTTTATATACAGGGAAAGTTTTTTAACTTGGAAATATCTCGCGTAATAAGCACACTACTAATTTTAGCACTAATATATCCCCCCGGAATGATTAAATTTATTTTATATAGTTTTTTCGACAGTGCTTATTACGCCAGATATTTTTAGTTTCAAGTTAAAAAAAACTCACCCTGTAATGGAGTCGAATGGGATAGGTATATTACTGCCACATCGGACGTTTTTAGGGTTGGCATCTGCCACTTCTTGGATCAAGGGTTACCAGCATCAAAAATACGGGTTTAAAATAATCGTTCTAGATTTTTTTACGAGAGACAATTAAAACAGAGTTACTCTAAGATTCGAACTAACTTACATTAAATTTTGTTGATAAAAAGTCGGCTATCTATCCACTAATACAATTGGTGGTAGCAAACACGAACATAGAGATAATAAACAAACCGCACGAACTGTAAATAATAATAATAATATAACTCAAAGTTTGGCCGGTTACCGTCGGTATAGTAGAAATACCCTAAATACACGTCGCGACGTGTCGGTATGATATCCCCACTATACCAAGAAACATACACTTATACATACTATACCGACCGACTTTGATACTTTAAACCAGCGGTTCTCAAACTGTGGTACGCGTACCACAAGTGGTACGTAAGGTATCCAAAGGTGGTACGCGAATAGATAATAGATGCCTTCAAATAAAATTATCGTTGGCTCAATTTTATTGAAAATCTATCATTTTCCACATTTTATATTGTAAATGGCAACACTGTTGTTGGTGTTTATTAAACGGGTAATCCCGTGCTCGTTTTAAAATCGTGACGAGTCATGCGTATTTTGTTTTGTTCTGACAAATTGTTGTTTTAATACTATAAAAATTGGTTCTGTTTGACGGTTATCAGTATTTCTTATTAAACTATAAGTTCAATAAATACGTACACGCAGCACAACTTGTTTTATTTAGTTCGGTTCGATTAATCCACATTGCACATGAATGGTACGCGAAAAAAAAAGTTTGAGAACTGCTGCTTTAAACTTTGGATTCCTCAGCTTCAACCGTAAATTTGTAGAGGGCGTTGGTGTGTATCCCAGGCTAGCAGGATAAAAAATTTAGAGACCGCAATATACCTGTGGTGCTGAGCACCACCATTTTCCTTTACGTGTGGTGCTTGAGCCCGCGAGCACCGCTATTGTCGCCGGCCCTGCCCGTTTACCATTTTAATACAAAGTTTAAATTCGGTTTAAGAGCAATTGTACCTACTTAAAATATTTTAAATTTCAAATGTAAACAACTTTTTGACAAATCGAAACAGAGAAAAATATATATTAAAAAGAGAAAGACTATTAACCACGTTGAATAACTAGCTCAGCGATATAGTTTTATGGTCTGGTATTTGTGACGTCATAGTTAGGATTTTTGAACGCACTCTAAACGCAAAAATGCCTTAACTATTAACCAAGGTTAAGTTTAATAACCATAGTATTTCATGGTATTTACGCGAAAAAACGACTATAGTAAACTTTAAAAAATGGACAGGAAACATTCATTTTTATCTTTTTACAAGTGACATTTCTTGAAAATGCGATAACTTGGCCAAAAATGTTTTGATTGTTACAATTTTTTTTAAATTGTAGTTAAATGTTTAATACATACAAAAAAATATATAAAAAATTAAGTGAATCCACAAAACAATTGAGGTCAAAATTTTTACATTGCCATTTTTTTTTGCTTCATATTTATTTATTTAACCAACCACGTGTACAGAAAATATAATAATAATAATATATGAAAAACTTCCACCAAAAGTCCCGAGTTGGCTAAATTTGTCGTTTCGGAATTATTTTTTTTTACGAAAATGCCATTTTCTAGTAACTTCGTGATTCTTCGCAAAATTTTTGTATTTTATTTAGGGTCATGAAACTGGGGTGACCTTTATAAAGTGTAATTTGAAACTTTTTGACATTTTTAACATTTTTTTTACTTCCGGTTTCACCGGTAAAAATCTAGGCTATGAACAAGAAAACGAATGTCAAAAGTTAAAAACAAAAGTTAAAAACCATGGTTAATTGAATTAACTTTGACTTCATAACTTATTTAACAGTAGTATTTTATAGTATTTACGCGAAACAAATGACTACTTCCCCCTCTGGCGTGACAAATCGGACGCTTCTACAAACCTCCTCCCCCCTCCAGCGTCACTTTATTTATGGGTTTTTTGGTCAATTTTTTAAAATGCATAATATTTGCCCAAATAAACGTCAAAAATGTGTCATCGTTTTTTCATGCCCAACCTATAGGATAGAACCAAACTGCTTTTGCATTTTATTGGGCACGATTTGATCGTTTATTTTTGGCCATCGCGAGTCCTAGGAATAAATCTTATACATTTATTGGCAAAACTTTTCCCAGCCAAGTTTTGACCTGATATGGGTCTCTGGCCCAAAACACAAAATTTATAATTGGAAAAATAAGGAGGAAAACAGCAAAGAGATACTTTAGTATAAATATTTGTTAAATATAAGACAGTATAATTTTCTTACCCTTTCCCACAAACATTGCAAAAGTGACTCTTCAAGCCTGTGTGCGTTTTCAAATGCGCTCTAAAGCTGGTATACCTAGAGAACCCTTTGCCGCACGTAACGCACACGAACGTTTTCTCGCCTTCGTGCGCTCTGATATGCTCGCGCAGTCGAAACGACTGCGCAAACGACTTGTCGCAAAGCTTGCACGCGAACGGACGTTCGCCAGTGTGCGTGCGGATATGACGCGTTAAATCGTCCGAACGGGAAAACTTTTTGCCGCACTCGTTGCACAGGTGTCGTTTGGCACCTTCGTGAACCTATGTAAATTTTTAATTAAATAATTAGTTAAGAGCTGAGTGGATTTCCAAAAAAGATTCTAGTATACAGGCTATCTCGAAAATGGTCACCTACTTTATATTAGGTTATTGTCATAAAAAATCACTAATATTTAAATTTAAATTAAAGCAGTTCCTGGAAGAAATATTATACCATATCTGATATAGTATACAATTAGTAAATATATTTTGAAGAGATGAAATATACTGCCGTACTAAGCGCACATAATGGCTGTCATGAGATATTGGTACTTTTATGTTAATAGCTCTGCCAACTCAGTTTGGTAACAGACACCGCTAAAAATAACTTGATATTTCAATCATTTACTGACAAAATACCGATTTAATACCTTATTAAAGTAGAGATTTTTAACCCTAGGTTCATATTACGGAAAAATGTCAATTTCCTTTAAATGTGTAGCAGTATATATACTGCCGTCCTAAGCGCAGAAGCGGTAACTGCACATTTAAAGGAAATTGACATTTTTCCGTAATATGAACCTAGGGTTAAAAATCTCTACTTTAATAAGGTATTAAATCGGTATTTTGTCAGTAAATGATTGAAATATCAAGTTATTTTTAGCGGTGTCTGTTACCAAACTGAGTTGGCAGAGCTATTAACATAAAAGTACCAATATCTCATGACAGCCATTATGTTAATTACCGCTTCTGCGCTTAGTACGGCAGTATAGATGAAGTATATTATTGTTAGTGCGTAATTTTCGGGACACCCTGTACATCAACATTGTTGTACCGTGTTTATGAACATGCAGGGTGTCCCAGAACTCGCGCAACAGAGAAAAAGGAGTGCCGAAAGTTATGCGAAACACATACCTAGTAGAAAAAAATGTGGTAGGGGCCCTTACACAGGAAAATCCGCTGGCAAAAAATTTTTTAGGGCACCAGTTTTTTGCATTTACCAATTTATTATAATTTAATAAATAATATATGAGAACATGGCTTTTTATGTACATGAAAATTTTAAAATTTGGTCTGGTTTTAGACATTTATCATTCTTTAACATCTTTTAAAAGGTTTTTATTTTAAGTCATTTGAAATAATTATAACGCTAATAACTATTTCTAATTTGCTATTAATATAACCTATGATAATATCACGCAAAGCGGACAGTATGCAGCGCAGAGCACAGAACAATATGCGCAGACTGCGCCGCAGACAACGCATAGTGGAAAGGTGCGGGCAGAAACAATTCGTATGAGTTCACAGCCTTGTTTGAACAGGAGGGTATTTAGGAAAATTTTAATTTAATAAATAGAAGCTTACGCATGTCGAAGCCAATCGGGCTCCCCCCTAGCCGGGGGCCCCGTATTATTGATATGGCTGATACCACGTTAGCTATGCACCTGCCTAAATTAATTTAATTTCTCTTAATGTTGTGTGTAAGACCAATGAAATTTTATGTAATAAAGAAAGAGGGACTTTTATTTCTTTGCAAAACAATGGCTGTAAAAGAACCCTATCCTGATTTTAGTCACTCTAGTCGTCTCAATCAAAACAAAAAAAACAAGTTTAAACATAAAAGAAAAAGTAAAGGTACCTATGCAGTCTTAACAAGTTTTTCTCAGTTTTATTAGTTCCTAATTTAATTAATATTATACCTATTTGTTTTGTTTGATTATAATAACTTATAAAACAAAAATCTGTTTTATTCACAGACCACCAAAACAAATGGACGGCGCATTGCCATCAGGTTGCCATTCAATAACAATGCATTGTTTGCGGTCAACAAACGGTCACAGTCTAAGCGTCAAATTTGAGATAGAATTTTATGTTTTCTTCCAGTGACGTCAACAAACGGTCACAGTCTAAGCGTTAAATTGGCGATAGAATTTTATGTTTTCTTCCAGTGACGTATTGGGATTAAAAAAATAATAAGTAGGTAGGTAGGTACTTACAAACGATATTTCCATGTATTGTTATTTTTAGTAAAAAATAATGTATTTAAACTCCATAATTAACTTAAACACGATAGAAATACACAAACGAAAACACAAAACAACAAGCTGTCAACCCACAGAACATAACCTTTTTCTATGCTGTCAAATATGACGAATTTACCAACGTTGTTAATATTTAATTTTAATAATTATTGAATGATTTACTTTCTTTAAATAGAGAAAAATATCTAAAGAAAATGATGAACAAATCCTTTTTACAATTTTTTTTATTATTCAAACGAATTACTGGTAATTATTAATGTTCATTATGTTATGATGAACGTCCAAAAATCTATACTTCTGACAACGTTGGAAGCCGTGTTTCTTTCGACGGTGTTTAGAATGTGTAACTATGCTTTACTCGCTTTTTAAACGTAAACAAATCCGTCCATTTGTTTTGGTGGTCTGTGGTTTTATTTAGCGTAAAAAAAAAATGTCAAAATGCCATAAACCTTATTAATGCAACATAATTAGAAAAAATGCCAAAAAATACCAATCTAAAAAATATACAGATACAAAATATACTGCATAAAAGCCATTGGATTTGCCATGCAGAGGTTGCAAAAGGGCTTTATTGTCGTCCTTACTTTCTTTAAAAAATTCCTTTAACCTTTGCAAAACTTCAAACTTGGTTATCTCATTTCAATGTTTTTTTTAGTTACGGTGATCTTGAACTGGTTGGTCTTGAACTGAGTTTAATTACACTATTACCTAGACATTTTTTATTTTTAAATTTGGCATCTCCATTGCCATCAGCACACCCACTTTTTCTCTGGGGTGTGAGTTCTGGGACACCCTGTATATTGCTCTTTCCTTTGAAATACATCTGCGAGCAAGGTAATGCAAACAAGTTTAAATGCACAAATAAAAAATAAATTTCTCTGAACTTCTCATCCAATTTTTCAAAAAAGGTCAAAAATTGCTTGATGTAATGTGTGAATCAGTTTATTTATGGATTATGTATCCATAAAATATTGTTTTTTAGTGATTTTTTAAATTTTGTATTACCTAGGTATATGTTAAGATTATAAACATTTCAGGAATTACCTTATTTTCATTTTTTATTACCTTCATATGCCTACACAGTGTACTGGCACTAGCAAATCTCCTTTGGCATGTTTTGCAATTAAACTTCTGATATTTGGCTATTTTATGTGTTTTACTATGGGACTAAAAATAACACTTTGATTGATAATTAAATTATTCCAATTCAATATTATTATTCACCTTTAAATCAGACTCCAAAGTAAAACATTGTGTACACTCCTCGCATGGAAAAATTGGTTGCAATGTTTCATCAACATTTTCACTCTTTGTTTTATTCACTTTAATATCATCACAATCATTTGATAAATTGGCATCATCAAAATTATCATTGGTTTCAGGAATATCAGGCTTTTGTAATTCAGTTTTTTCTTCATCAAATAATTTACTTGTACTTTCAGATGCTTCACAAGAAACTGCATTTAAAATTGAATTATTTACAGTTTCTAAAACCTCAGTGGTTGTTAGAATATTATCAACCCCATCTAAATTTTCTACTTGAGCTGCTATATTAATATCTGTTTCCATAGGTAGTCCCTCATTTTGGGACTGCACTATATTTTGTACCAATTGTTCAGTAATTAACATGGGCTTTATTTCGATAAAGGCAGTTTGTATGGGCCGAACCAACAACTCTCGTAATGTTGTATCAGATCTTTCACACAACTGTTTAAATGAAAAAGCCCTTGTTATATAATGCACGCATTGCAAACAAACTTGACTAGGTAAACCATCATTTTCAATCACCTTCAAACAAATATTAAGAACAATTTTAAAACAACTGAAATAAAGATTTACCTGCACTGAGGCACAAGACATGAGCATTTCAAAGATTCTGGCGCTTTCTCCTGAAGATTCGTCAAAGCTAAATACAGATCTCATGTTATTTTCTTCCGATAAACACGTCCTGCATATTCTTTCTATGTTTATTGCTTCAAAAGTCATGTTTATTGTTTACTTATAAGGTTATGTTTATTTGACAGTTATGCCTGCAGTGTTGCCATCAGATACTTACCATAGATAATAAATCATACTTACTGTAGTATGCAGCGTTGCCAGACCACGAAAAAATTCCTTACTGATTGACCGTTTCACTATATTAGTTTGCACTTGTCGCTTAACTCTTTCTTATCACTTAGCACTTAACTCATTCTTGGCCGTATACGTATATAGTTATATACCTAGTTAACTTTTAAAAACCCAGCGAGGGTTTTACTAAGGGATAGATATATTTTCAGAAAAAAAATGGTCCGGTGCGGTTTGATTTTGATGACCTGAAAATTGTCATACAGTGTAATTATAACCACTATAGTGGTTTAGTGATTAGTTATTTTCGTAGTTTCTTATAACTATAGTTCGTCGAACCAAAAAACGCAACAATAATAGATTTACATCCTCAAGCTTATGTTAATATTAAAATAATATTGACATATACAGGGTGTGAAAATAGTGTGCAATACTCTTCAAGCGGTTTCTAAAGACAAAAATAAGAAGAAAACTTCTTATAACCATGGTTTTGTATTATTAAAACAACATTTTTATTTAGAGTGGGGTGTAGGGAGTAGGGGTGATCTAGGGTATTTTTAGCCCCAACTTTTTAGTATGGAATCATTTGCAAGTTGGCCGCAGAATATACAAACTTAGTTTTCTTTGTATAAAAGGTACTCTTGTTGAACATCCATAAAATGCACCATTTTTTAATAAAAATAAAATGGCAAATAAAAAAAACTTTTTTCTTTTTTAATATAATATATTTATTTAACCAGAAATTTTAATAAAATGTCTCCCGAAAATAAATTATTTTATCTTAAATCGTTTCGGAAATAATAATAAAAAAACATCTTCAGGCTGTATACCTATAGGTCCCTTAGGAGCCATTTGCAGACCTTTATTCATATAGTTTTTTTTCCCTTTTTGGCCCTAAAAACCGCTCGTAGAGTTTTGCACGCTTTTTTCGGGACACCCTTTATATGTCAATATTACTTGTTTTATTATCTTAATCTTGATGAGCATTCATTTAAACAAAACCCTTAAATAATTGAAGTAATACTTTATTATTAAAAAATTTTAAAAGCAATATATTAACTTCGTTTAAAACTATTATAATATTGAGATTTAAAACATAAATATATACAATATAAGTGCTAAAAGCGTAAATTTAACATAATACTTTAAAAAACTATTTGGTAGGCGATTCTTGTCTAAGTCGCTCTACATCGTTAAAAACGACTTGAGCGCCCCCTCCGCAAGTGGGCAAAATATCGGCTTTGTAAACTTTAGTTTCAACTTCGCCATCTGTGTCTTGATCCTGCGCAATAAGACAGTACTTGCTTTGCTTTGGATTGGTTATGTCTGTAGCCTTGCTGAGTTTAGTAACGGATTTTCTCTTTTTCATGCTAGGTTGTAGTACTGTGCCCAGAGGGACGGGTTTAATAGAGTTGTGCTCTAACCAAACTTCACCTGCTGACCTTGAACGTCTTCTGTGAGATGGGGTAGATGTCGCAACAGTGCTTCTGCTTTTATGCGGGGTCTGATTTTCTTTTTCAGCTTGCTGTACTAGTTTGTGGCTGTACACGTTTGGTTCTTTCTGTATTTCGGTTATGTCGATAGGGGGGATAAGGTCACTTTCAAGTACTTCTTTGACTTTCTTTAGCTTGTAGTCTTTGGCCTTCATGGCGGCATTTAGATAGTCGCGTTGTTTTTTCAGCTTCATGTCTAATTCTTGGGTTTTTTCGGACTGCTGCGCCAAACGGTGCTTGTGCTTTTCTTTCTCCAAGCAATTCTGGTTGATTTTGCGGTCCTTTTCGCTGATTTTATTTTGTAGAGAACGAACCACGTCCTCCAATTCTCCGCATTTGTGCGCTAGAGAATCGTTGACGGTTTCCAAATCTACCACTTTAGTTTGTAGGTTTATAGATTTGTGTTTTTCTTTTTGGATGATTGTTCTGAGACTTTTGATTTCGGTTTTGTTAAGAACAAAATCTTTGTCCATTTCTAGAAGGCGATTTCTAAACTCCTTGATTTTTATCTCGGATTCTCGGTTTACATTAACCGACTTATTTTTCCGTAGCTTTAAAATTCTCACGAGTTTATCGATTTGTATGCCGCAATCTTCGATGTTCTCGAAGTTGAATTTCATTGCAGGCACCTCTGGAAGTAAAGTGAAGGTGGCATTTTTCGGTTTTGAAGCTGTTTTTGGGGTAACCGTATTTTTCTCAATTGTTCTCTTATGAATTGGAGTATACTTAGCTTCTGATTTGGCAATTTTAACGTCCTGCGTCATCTCTCCAAATTTCATTACCTGCAGATTCTCCTCAAAATCTTCTATGGATGGATTTGCGCAAATTATCATTTGCACTGAACCTTCTCCCTCAAAGTAATTCTTGAATAATTGCGTCAATCTTGTATCTCTGTAAGGTACCAATCTGTTGGACTTTTTCATCTGGTTTTCCCTCAATATTTCCAAACAATTCCTTAGTGACATAAGTGAGTTATTTATAGCACTAGCCTCTCTTAATCTAGCCCCTGTTGTTTGTGTCCGATTGGTTCTCTCTGAACCTGCCAAATCAACTAGGCTTATTTGAGATATTTGCATGTGATTACCCTCAGGAATCATAGGCTGCCCATCATAATTTAAGGTTTGTTGCTCCAATTGGACAATTCTTATATTGAAAATAGAGTGGCTACGGCTTGATTCAGCATTTAAAATAGTATCCCCCATTCTTTTCCTTCTTTGCCCAGTAAAAAATATGTTAAATGCCTCTTGGGCTGTTTTAACTTCCACTTCAACAACCCCATTAACATACATATTTTTATTAAAATCTTCTCTGAGTATTTTTGATTGTAATGATTTACCACTGGATTCGTCCAGCAAATCAAATACTGTATTATTGTAAATCTCAATGTAGCTCACAAAAACCGAATACAAATTTGTCTCATTCAACAAAAGTATTTTTAAGTTATCATTGGCATAATTAATTTTATCACTACTATTAACCCTCCTAGGAGTTTTGGGTGTTTTTAATGCAGCTCTATCTTCTTGCATTCGATCCCTATATGCCTCTGTTTCTGACTGTATCTCGAACCCATTCATTTTATCTGATTTAATTACATATTTTGGCGCCTGATTATCACCAATTGAATTAAAAATCGTGTCTATACATCTTGGCATAATACCTGGATTGTTTTCATCCCCAGTAAGTGTGAAGGTCTTACCCGATCCTGTTACTCCATATGTAAATAATAGTGCATTTTTACCTTTCAGCAGATCTTCTATTAAGGGGTAAGCAACATGGTCAAATATTTCCCTTTGACCTGAATATGATGTGAAGATATGCTTGAATTTATAATGGACTTCTTTGCGGGAACCTAAACGTAAAAAACGCGAAATTAGGACAAAATTTACTACAAGTGGAGCTTCAAGATAAATAATTAATGTTTTAATAATATTAATGTTATACTTTACATATAAACCACAAGGATTTAAGTCAAAATAATTAAACAAAACCAAATAAACTACAAACAAATAAAAATATACATTTGTAAACAAATTTTTTGTCAATAATAAACGCCTTAATACATACCTTTTGATTCCATGGGGGTTGTAAGGGACAAAACTGAAGGCGAAAGCAGTTTTATGCATGTTGATTCCTTATTATCTTTGAGGGGCCTTAGTCTACAATAAACACGAACAGGATCTTTTCCAGAATCGGAATGATTTGATAACGTGGTCTTCTCCCTTTGCATTCTGTTCCTTGGTGTGTATTTGTTCGACGGATTCATTTTATCCGATCAAAAAATGCACAAGTACACCAGCAACTTCAAATTTAAACGGTTGTGTTTGGCAGTTACAAAAGTGTCGCCATCTGCAGAATTTTAGTAGGCAAATAAGTGCTGCCACGAGAGAAAAAATAAGACCCCTAAGTAAATAGCCAACAAAATGTTTCATGATTGCCAATAACCTAAAAAATAAAATTAGCACCAGCGACACTAGATTTGACATTTTTTATTAAATCATCAATGTTGCCAACATAATATTAAAATGAGCGTTGTTGAAAGTTTCAACTTGAAACATATACACAGTGTTGCCAAAGTGTGAGGATTTCCTCACGTTGTGAGGATTTTATGCGTTTGTGGGGAATTTGTGAGGGTTAGGTAAAATGTGAGGATTTTGTGAGGATTTCGTATTTTTTCTTCTTGAAAAAACTTATTAAAGACGTAAAAATAATGATATATTCTTACAAAGGTATGCAACCAAGAATGTTTCTTATAGGAAAACAATGTATGAATTAAGCCGGATTTATAGTTTTAAAGGTAACGGTAGAGGCAGCGGTAAAGGTAGCGGTATCACTTTCATTAATCTAAAACCTTATTTGGCATTCACTATATTTTAAGAAAAATAAAAAAAAAGATGGCCCCGATCAAAGTTTTACTTTATTTGGGGCAACTTTGATCATGCCTTAATTTTGCTCTTATAACTAATGAAACCCCATTCAATTATAATATAAATTTAAAAAAATTAAAATTTTTAATTATTTACTTTAAAAATAACATATTTGCGTAAAAAAACAACCAGAAATTAAGAAATAAATACGCTTTTATTGATCATGCTGTATACTAGAAATTTCTGAAGCTTTATAAAATATAAAAACAAAAAAGTAAACTTTATTACATTATAGTACGAGAACCGCGGCAAAACTCACCACGATGTTTACACCCTCGTTAACGTGTGACAACTGTAATATGATGGGTTAAAGCGCGCCAAAAAATTTTTTCTAGGGCAGTAATTCAAAAAAATAAAAGTTCTGACATGTGTAATCAAAGTTGCCCCACAATAGAGTAATTGCATCAAAAATGAAAATCCCTAAAAACCTTTTTAATGTAATCTAGAGGTAAAATCACATTGCGAAAATATTTTTTTATATTCCAAAAGTTCAACCCGGCCCCACAATATCAAATTGAAAAAAAGGTACTTTTCAAACGTTCGCGAACTCCCGCCATATTGCATGACGTCATAGACCTACAGAAGTGTCAGAAATCAAGATGTCAACAAATAATAAACACCGATAAAGTTTATGTTTAACAAGGAAAACGCGAAAACAAAAATTGGTTGTAAATATTGTTTTGTGCCTTGTTGTACAAATACAACCTGGAAAACTCCTGGGAAAGTTATCCCTTTAATTATCAAATGCAAAGTTTATGACCCTACACTGAGAGCCGTTACGGCTCAGCCCTATTTTCTTGAGTTTATTATTATTTAACATACCTATTCCAACCATATACCCACAATCCACACAACAAGGTACTTTTCAAACTATCCGAACTCCCGCCATACTGCATGACGTCATAGACCTACAGAAGTGTCAGAATTCAAGATGTCAACAAATACCTAATAAACACCGGTAAAGTTTATGTTTAACATGGAAAACGCGAAAACAAAAATTGGTTGTAAATATTGTTTTGTGCCTTGTACAAATACAACCTGGAAAACTCCTGGGAAAAGGTTTATCACCGTACCAAAAGGGAAAATAAGGATAAAGTGGATTAAAATAGCTCGGCGCGATATCAAAACATCGTCACCGCAGTCAACATTGTATTGCTGCGAGGAACATTTTAATGTAAGTAAAATATAATGTCGTTTACTAGGTATATGCACAATCCACACAACAAGGTCTGTTCTATCTCGTTTCGCGCATGCTAAAAATCACAATGTTAGGCAACCCTCTGCAAAGATATTAAAGGCGGCCATTTTTGTTGTTTACAATTTTTATGCTTTTGATTTGTGCTCTGTTTATACAGATTAATAATCGTTTTTAAACGTTGTTAGTTCATTGGATTTTATTGACATCAGTTGAGTTTGCTCCTGTGTGTTCCTGTTTGGTTTTATTGACGTTACCAGTGTGAAATTTACACTGAATCAGTTGAGTGCGCTCCTGTTTGTGTTGATTTTGTCATTGGCTGTTGACTGTACTAGTGTACTTGTTTATAAACACTAATTAGTGCCTATTTTGAAATAAATATTGTTTAACCAGTAAGTAAAACTAAGGTAGTCAGTTTTCTATCTACATAATTTTATTTATTTAGTGTCGTACTGCATGGTAAAAAGTCGTAAGAACAACAGCAAAAACAACGAAGAGAGAAATTTTACACATTGCCCAAAAACTCTTTAAAAGCCAAAGAATGGATTGAGGCTACTGATAATTCAATGGTTAATATGGAAAAACCAAAGTCTCGTAAGTTCCACTACAATGTGTGCAAAACATAATTATTAATGTATATTATTTATTTAGATCGAATTTGTGCTACACATTTTGAGCCAAAATATTTGGTAAGGCATCCACACAAAGTTTTGTATGGTTTGTCACCACCTAAAGCCTACCGAGGCCTTACTGAGAAAGCTGTTCCAACTTTGCATTTGCCTGAAAGGTAATATTATATTATTGTTAAGTGAAGAGTCTTTAATTAACAATATTATACCATTTATTTTTTATATCTGTTAAATAATTTTCCAACTATGAAATTTACAGATCTGAAACATTAGAAATGGTTGTAGATCTACCAAATGAAGCAACTTTTGCCAAAAGGTAATATAAATTATTTGGAATAAAAAACATAATAATATGAATGTTATTTTGGCGAAAAGTACGAAATCTACCTCTTCCTGCTCCATCAACAATGAGAAAGTGGATTTCAGATATTATTTTTGAAGAAGGAATTTTATCTCCAGTACTCCAAGCAATGAGTATAAAAAAATACTCACTGAATGACATTCAGCGCCTAGCTGTCTTTGGATTTGATGATGTACATTTGTCACCCCAAATTGATATTGACAAAAAAAGGAGCAAGTGGTAAGTAAATATTGTATATTAAAACAAAAATTTATATAATGTATTTTTTAAGGTTTGGCCACACAAAACATGTCTGATAGTTATGGCACAAGGATTAATTCACCGTTGGAAGCAACCAGTGTATTATAAATATGATGATGTTAAGACTAAGGAATCATCATTTTTTCATATTCTTAATTAATCAATTTTACCAAAACTGTGATATATACCTATATACAATTCAATACCTTTTAACCAGTGGAAACCATAGAAAAAGGTGGAAACTCTATAGTGTAGTAAAAATTAAGTTTTAAATATTCTATTTTATATAAAATTGGTATTAGAACGTATTGTTATTAAAACGTTTTTTATTAAATTTTGTGTTAGTAGTTGACTAGTTAACCCCTTATTAGGGATTAAATGTTACCAGTATGTTTTGGTATTCTTTTATCAATTTAAATATGCTAAATTGTATTATTTTATAAGCATGAAGAAATATATTTATTTTGTTAAATTATGCAAAAATTTAAGTGTATGTAAAAATACTATTTATGTTTAAGTTTATTAATATTTATTTTGATTATTTTTTATTAAAAATATATATTATATTTTTTTGTTTTATTTATATATCTACTTACTAGAAATCCTACCTTCATCTTAATAATTTCCGTACTTTCAAAAATTAATTTACTAAAAAATTATGAATTTGCAGTAGGTACTCGACTAACTAATATTATAAATTTGTCTTAATTAAATTATTTTGATTTATTTTACTATCTTAACTTTTAATTTCTAAAAATTCATCGACTATGGTTGGGTACATCCATTTTTACTTGCTAAAATACTTTCATCATTGATAATTTTATTTATAGATTTTAATATTGCCAATAATCAATTTTTAAGAAAATGTATTAAAAGTTGTAATAATTATTATTAATTATTAAAAAAATTATTTATTACCATATTGTAAAATAATGTTTAATTTACACAAGTAATAATAGTGTACCTACTTGTGTTTATTTCTGTTTACGTTAAAACTTGAAACAACTACATTTACTTGCTCAAAATACCTTTTTATAAATATATCTTTAATAATTTATTAATTAAATTCCCCAATTAACATATGTTTGTCAAATCTTTTGTTTAAAACAAACATTTGCGTTTACATTAAAACTTTAAACAACTTTTTATTTTTAAATTAACAGCGGCAAATAAATCAAAGATGGTGGACATTAATATCTGACGTGGTGCGCATAACAGTCCTGATTTTCGTTCGAATTTTATCGAGATAGAACAGACCTTGTTGTGTGGATTGTGTAGTAAACGACATTATATTTTACTTACATTAAAATGTTCCTCGCAGCAATACAATGTTGACTGCGGTGACGATGTTTTGATATCGCGCCGAGCTATTTTAATCCACTTTATCCTTATTTTCCCTTTTGGTACGGTGATAAACCTTTTCCCAGGAGTTTTCCAGGTTGTATTTGTACAAGGCACAAAACAATATTTACAACCAATTTTTGTTTTCGCGTTTTCCATGTTAAACATAAACTTTACCGGTGTTTATTAGGTATTTGTTGACATCTTGAATTCTGACACTTCTGTAGGTCTATGACGTCATGCAGTATGGCGGGAGTTCGGATAGTTTGAAAAGTACCTTTTTTCAATTTGATATTTTGGGGCCGGGTTGAACTTTTGGAATATAAAAAAATATTTTCGCAATGTGTTTTTACCTCTAGATTACATTAAAAAGGTTTTCAGGGATTTTCATTTTTGATGCAATTACTCTATTATCAATGTAGCCCCAGTTGACGGTACCTATTTCTACAATTTAACTAACCCTTTCACAATTATTTAATACCTATTACAAAACTCGAAAAAATTATTTAACATTTTTTAATTGGGAGGATTTTGTGAGGATTTTCAAATTAAGGCGGGTAAAATGTGAGGATTTTCAGTACTGGATGGGGGTAATTTCATATTTTGTGATTGGCAACACTGCATATACAGCAAAAATAAACACAGAGATAAACACAATTTTTAGGTTAAGATGATTTATTTATATATTTTGGTGAGTTTTTTAATAAAATTCTTAAATTTAACATTTTCTTTTAGTTACTTTTACTGGGATGTGTTCAGAGCAACGACGATTTGCTAATTTCAAGCCAAGGAATTGTTGATAGGGAGACTTTTGCCCACTATAGGATATTAAATGCTGGAAATGTATTAATAAATTTAATAACATTGTAAATATTGCAATATTGATAAAAAATATTGCTAATAAGTACTTTTTAGGAAAGGGGATGCTGATATTTATGTTTCCCATAAGGATTTCGCTACCTATGATCCCAGTGTTTATGATTTTCACTCAGCTACATGTGGTATGGATTATGTAGTTGTCCCATACAGGTTTTATATGATTTTTAAGAGTAGGTATTTAGTATAATTAAAGTTGTAGTTTTCAGAAACCATTCTCTGTAGGAATTTATGGACATCCTTCATATGAAAATAGTTCATACTTACTGGAAGTCTATGATTTAGATGGTTTCGACAAGGATAAGTTTGAATTGGTATATATTTCTATTGGGGAGACCAAAAAGATTAAAAAATTAGGAAATAATAATAAAGAAGGCAACACATATAAAATGGCAGCTAAAACTGGATTGTGGGCTTTATTTGAAATATTTCATTTGATATTTTTGTGAATTATTTGTAGTTTTTTTCTGTGATATTGTTGCCATTGTACTTATAAATAAATTATTTAAGAGTTGAGTTTTTTAAAATTAAACCAACAAATTAAATAAAAAATATATTTATGGTATTATACTATAATAGTTGTTTAGTGAATCTTTAATAAATGGTATAGACTATACCGTATAGTTTAGGTACTGTTATATCTTTGGGATTATATTTATATTGGTACTTTTAAATGTGTTTTTTTCAGAAAGTACACTATTTCTTATATTTAATTTGAAACTATACCGTGTTTAGTAATCAAATGTCTCTCTAAATGTGTTTTTCTTGATAAAACTTTTGAACAAATTGAACAAGTTGTTGCTCCATCGTGTACTCTGTAATGTCTTTTTAATGAATCTTTTAATTGATAAGTTTTACCGCAAATATCACATGTGTACTCTTCTGTGCTTTTATTTTCTTGTTTTAGTACTGAAAAGTTATATATTACTTAAACAACCCTTTTATTAAATTAACTTTATAAAATACCTGCATCAAATAAAACATTTTCTTCTAAAAACTGAGAATTATCCTCAAAAACTTCTACTAATTCCTCTTTAATGTCATTTTTACATATTTTACTACTTTCCACTTTATTATTTTTGATTGGTCTTTTTCTTACACTCTTAACAACTTTGGAGGAATTAACATCCTTGTCCAAACTCTCCTTATTAATGTAAGTTAATCCACAAACTTGCAATGATTTACTCCCTCTCATAAAATCATCGAAAAGCTCTTTTTTAATATGAACTTCCCCATTATACATAAAATCAAGTATGTTCAGCAAAATTGAGTGTTCTATGCCATTAATTATAACAATAGGACTAGGCTCCTTAATTTCCTTAAAAATCTGACGAAAATACAAACTGCAAGCTGATAAAATCACCTTGTGAGCTTTAATGTAGTTTCCTTCAATAAATATTGTTACATCTGTTAGTTCGTTGTTTTTTAGCAATTCTTCAATTACATTTTTTATGTGGTCGGAGTGGTTCTTCCAGTTTATAGTCAAATCAATCACAGACATTTTATTTTTTGTAATAAGCAAACTTCTTCCTACTTGTTTATTTCCTTCTGAGGAAATTGGGCTTATTACTAGTAAGAGCAAAACAGATAATAAAAGTTGGTAAATTTATTTGAGGTTAGGTTAACTTTGACTTTTATCAGTGTTGTTCTTGGTAAAGTTGAGTTGTAAGAGTTGTTCTTGGGTTTGAAAAAAACTATAATTTGAACAATATGAGAAAACTTTATTAAATCTACAAATTGGTTACAGATAGAAAATAAACCAAAAAAAATGAGAACAAGCGTTTAGTGTAAGCAATAATAAATCAAGAACGTTGTTCAATTAATTATTCACTAAAAAACGATTTGGTATATATACTTTGCTGTTGCATATTTTAACATGCAAAAGGAACAAATACAATTGGACGATATCGCTGAAATTTTATGTAAATTAATTAATTAATAATAAAAATAATAACAAATCGACCATCCATCACAATTACTATTGACATCAATACACAAAGTTTTTTTGTTTTAAAATATTTACATTTATTACTATATTTAAGGCCAGAGGAAGTTAAAATTGCTTCTACTAAGGTATCTGGAAACAAACCAGCACATCTTTAGGTTTTGCATGCAATAAACAAATAACAGAGGGCGCTAAAGTCGACATCCCACTTAAAATAAGCTCTATTTTTGGGCTTTGGAGATTTTAAAAGGATTTACCCTAAGATATAAATTTTATACATAAATGTAATTTTTTAAAACCACAATCATAGACTTTAGCGCCACCTTTAGTAGCCTTTTGTGGGCTTAATTTGTTTTTCTATAAAAATGTGTTTGATTGAAATTAGTGGTCCAAATGCAAAGTAACATTTATTGAATAGTATAAGAAGTTAAGACACTTAAGGGACATAATAAAACTAATAATAAAGTTATTATTAGGGACTGGCTTCATTATTTTTATAGAACAGTTTAGTCCAAAAGAATTTGTCTTTTCAGTATTTGTCTCTTAAAATCAACATATTTTATATTATTATGGAAAACTAGACCAAAGCATTTTCTTTCACACCAACAAAAACAACAAATAAAACAAAATTATTAACTTTAAAACACATAATTTTATTCGCTAATTTTTTTCTAACAATTGGTTTGTTTGATAATTGTAAAAATTCAGTATAATTTGTAAAAATTATTGTATTGTATTATTGCCCTCTACGAGTTGAAAGAAGTTACTTTGGTAATAATTCCTACTAAGGTTAAGAAATTGACAATTCTAGGCCTATTCTACACCAACATTTATAAAGAAAGAGGACAAGAGCTAAAAGAAAATAACAGTGGTGTGCGGTATTAATTTTGCCCAAAATTTTATCCCAAAAGAGTTTCAATTGCAATTCCATGGTTTTTAATTAATTATATAAAAAAAATTCTCGAGATTAAATTTTGGCAAATTAAAAATACCTTCAATAAAATTCCAGGTCAGTCAAAAGGATTTTGGCATATTTGCAAAAAAATATTTTATTACATAATATCATAATGAATTACACTGGTTGACAAAATGAACTTTTTTGTTTGCCACAGGGGAACCAATAACTTTTCTAGGGTAATTTGGGTGTGCTGATTCCAACAATGACCATCAATTTAATCAATTGGCCTTTGTTTTAGAGATATTGTAAGAAAACCGTTTTTTTTATATGCAATCATTTAAATGTGTATATATATTTTTTAAATCAAGTACTTTAACCAAGAATCATTGGTCATGTAGCTACAAATAATAATTTAACTAAAAAAATAAATTATACATTCATTAAGTGAGTCCCTTAAAAAACTCTGTCCCTATTAACACCCTATTAAACTTATTTGAGCAAAAATACACCTCTAGAAATATAACCTAGAGAACAAACCGAAAAACATAATGTGCTGGCCAAATAGCTTTTAAATTAAGCTAAAGGTCATTCCTCTGAACACAGATTTGTGATCAGAATTAAAAAGAAATAAAATCTCTTTTTTTGCAAAACTTTACAAGTTCAAAAAATTATGAAAACAATTTTTGTCCGATTTTAATTTATAAAATTGTTTAGCTTTCTTATCTACTTTATTTTGTCAAATACCAATCAAATAAAAATTGGCAAAATGGCACTCAAAACAACCGCGCGTGATAAAATTTATATTTAGGAATGAAAAAAATTAAAAAATTGTTTTTCTCAAATATCTTAAAAAATTGTAGGGGTAACCATCACCCCCGATTAGGAGTTGGTGTGGGGTTGAAAATATAAAAATAAATTGTCCATCTAAAATTAAAAATAGACGTGTGCGAGCATTTTTTTACACCTAAGAAAACGGAGGTGGAAAATTTCCATGTATGAATATATAACTCATTTTAATTAGGTACTTTTAAATTGGTACATAATTTTCATTCATAAGTTCAATATGTCAGATGAAAATTCAACTTGGAGGAAGTTGACTGTAATACCAGAGCATAATTAATGCTTGAAACTACTTTAAAACAAAAGTCGTGCATTTTCGTAATGTTGAGGGGTTTTACTTTTATTCACAGGATTTTTTAGGAATTCCTATAACTTAAGTGGTACAAGCGAAAATGACCGTTGATTGCGTTAAAATTTTAACCCAATAAAGTAGATAAATTATTGTACAAATCGAACAAAATTTGCTCGCAAAACAGCACTTTGAATTTTGAAGTGTCGAATTTTTACTAAAAAGGCTAATTTATTTCCTTAAAAGTAGTGTTTTTAAGGGAATAACTTGATGAATGTGTATTATTTATTTTTTCAGTTAATATATGACTTATAGCTTCATGACCAATGATCCTTGGTTAAAGTAATTGTTTAAAATATATATGTACGAATTTAAATGTGCATATCTAAAAAACAACTTTTTACAATATCTTGAAAACAAAGACGATTTACCCTAAAAAATTTGTAGGTCACCCTGTGGCAAAATGGCTGTGGACCAGTGTTATTAATGAACTTCAGTCACATACAATATGAACACAAATTGCAAATAAAGTTTGATTTTTATTAGGAATTAGACAAAATCTAATAAAAAAATAAATTTTAAAATAATTAAAAAATTAAAAATGATTATTAGATAGGTGCTGTAACAGCTGTATTAAAAAAAAGGAACAATAATTGCTGTTTTTTGGAGCAGTTCTTATGTCAAATTCCAAATAAAATGAGAAAACTTATGTTGAGGTAAATAATGTTCAGTCCACAAATTAAATAAAATCCAAATAACTAACAAGTGCATTTCTCCTCAAATTCAAATTGTTTTAAAGTCTTGCATAATTTTACATTAAATTAAAATTGTTATTTACACAAAATTCTCTTTATTTAAGTATTTCCATTATAGTGTGACAAAAACTATGAGAACGTAGCTAAATTAAACTACTTAAGCTACAGCCTACAAAAAAATGTAGCCAACAAAATAGCTCTAAAACTCAGCAATTGTTAAATTTTGTATTGTGAATAAGCCCCTAAATTGTTCCATGTTCAGTCATATAGCTCTAATCCTAACTTAACATTATCTACTAAACATGTCAAATAAATAATGGTTTTATTATTAACAGGACATTTTACTGTTTAACATAAATAAGAGATGTTTAACCATAAAATGTCCACTCAACTAACGTTCATACACGAGCGCAGACCGAATCATGCGCATTATAATAAAACACGCCAGTCTTGCGTGCGCAGTTCAGATATATTCAGACTCCACCTGGTATATTACGACTAAATAAATAACGTAACGGCGAGTATTATTTATTTAAAAAAAAGTCGCAATCAGTCGCATTTTGTAACAAAAAGTAAACAGTCTAGATTGTTATTCACTGCTTCTTACAAACATATTCATAACACTTGCCCACGTTTAAAATAATGCTCGATTCAAAACGGTTAGGAGCACAAAAGCACAAGAAAATAAACCAAGGATTGTTTTATTTTAGATGGGGAATTCTACGAGTTTCTAAAATGTGTCGTAAAATCTTGTAGTTAGTATATTGCACTTTTAGCTTGTAGATTGAGTGAAGACTAGAATAGAAAGACAATAAAACCGTTTGAGAGCTAAAAAGTCAATACAAACATAAAAACAGTAAATATAACCAGTCTTTATTAATTAATAATTTCTAACGTAAATAAAAATTGACTAGTGGGTAGGTACAGACTTACTTAAATTCTCTGTCGTGTTACAAAAATGTTTGCAAGTAAATGTTCACGTAATCATCCACGCACTTCACTTGTATAATAGCGCACTCAAGTGTAGAAAGTAGAAATTAAAAGGTTGGGTTGAAATTGAATTGAGTTATTACATTGGTAGTGTGTTGTTGGTTGGCTATGTTGCTTGTGTGTTTTGTCTTTAAACCCAGTCCTTGTCAGAGACCGCCTCCGCTTCGGCGTCGTCGTCCTCCTCTTCGACGATCTCGCAGCGGTTATTTTGCGCCTCGGCTTCGTTCGAGTGTCGTCGTTTTTTCGCCAGCAACGCTTCGATCTCCTCTTTAGTGCGCTCCTTGCGGAACTCGTACACCAGCGGGAAGATGTACTCGATGGCGGCCTGCACGGCGGCCACGCTTGGTGCTGCAAATTACAAAAACAATAACATTTTGTACACAATTTTAACTTTAGTAAAAAAGTAGGTATTATCTTAGTTATACGCGTTGTCGAAAATTCGACATCGAGAAGTCGTCAAGAAAAGGCTTGCCGTATGGACTCCCGGTTCTGGGCGGTGCTTACTCGTAACATCATCATTTTTTTTCCATAGCCGTGTTTCTTTTAGACGAATTAAACGAATTGTGATTGGTCAGTGAAAAATCGAGTGTGCATAAACCACGCCCAAAACTCGGAGATTATACAACACGTTTTTGTACGTGTTCGAGTTTAGGAACATGGGGCCTACGCAAGGAGTCCGAACTTCATGTAAACAAGAATCTTCCTAAGATAAGAGGGCGCTGGTGTTCCGTTTGTTCTGAAACAATTGACTAATTTGTACAAAAATGGTAGCGTTTCGGTACAAATTAGTCAATTGTTTCAGAACAAACAGCAGAGGTCAGTACGCATCGACAATCAGCGCCACTGGTGGTGAAAAAAAAGACTTAATTTGTGCCATTTATAGGGCAGGTTTTGTCAATTTACCCTATTAAGTTCTTGTCTCTAAACCAATCCAATATGACGGCTGCCGTTACATGGGTTGCCTATTTTTTTTTATCACAACCTCCTTGAAATGGCTCATGTCACATGGGTACATGGGCGCGGGCAGGGAGGGTTAAAAAATTAAAATACAAAAGCTCATTTAAAGCTCATTTGAATATTTAAACATAGATATTTAAAATTGCGCATACTGGATTATTTTATGCCGGCGCCCATGCATGTTCGTCAAATTGGAGGGTTTGATGAGTAGAAACAATAAGGTCAGTGAAAATTTGAAAATTTCTAAAATTTTTACGATTTCCAAAATTTTTTAAATTCAGTTTTAAAAATTGTTTAAATTAATTTTTTTGTAATAACAAAATTTCCAATATATCTAAAAATTTTAAAAAGGTTCTTGATTTTTAAGATTATGCTGTTTTTTTGATATTTTTTTTTAGAAAAATAAATTATTATTTTTTTTAGTTACGCTAAAGAAGGTACTATGCTCCACACCTCAAAGTCCCACCACGTACGGAACGCAGTCTTTTGAAAATTTGGCATTTAAGGCTTTTCAGGTTATGTATCTGTCAAAGTATAGTCAACGAAAGAAATAATATTATGTTTAGGCGTTAAAAATGTTTAAATATTTATAATATTACAATAACAATGGATGGTTTAAGAATTTAAGAATATAAATACTTCATTTAATAACATTCTAAAGTGTATGGTGCCAAATAAGTAATATTTTTGTGCATTTTGTCCAAATATCTGGTTTTCTCCATAAAATAATTTTAACTAAACAGCATTTATTAAAAAAAATCTAGCTTCTCTATTATGAAATAAGAATAACTGTTTTAAAGGTAGGTTAATTTATTATCGAAGGTTAAGTATTAGCGGAGTGTGTTTGCCGGGTGCTAGAAAAACAGATAAAATAGTGGTTTTTACTTTGCAAAAGTATACAAAGAAGACAGAAAACAGAAATTCAGACTCGCCTAGTTGGCTGAAGATATAGACAACAGGAGAAAAGGTCAGAAAAAGCTGTATTTCTTTAATAAAAATTTGCTTTTAGAAATAACCTAAAAATCTGCTGACGCGGGTCTTATCAGAGATTTTTACCAAATCAAGAAGTGACGCCATCTATCAAAGAGTACTGTTAGGCGGCAAACAGATTTCTGGTTGAATTAAGTAGGCCAGGGATATATACTGTGTGTCGCACGCAGACTTAGCTTATCTGGGTATACAGGGCGTACAAATAAATGCCACATACAGAAAAACACTACAAAAGAGGCAGAGCAAAGATCGAAACTTCCCCTGAAAGAGAAGAAAACTCAACACGAAAAAGCAAACTAAAAGCCAGATCACCAAAAACAGCAGAAATGGAAGAAATTAAAAAAATGATAGCAGAGCAAATAAAGGGATTTGAAGATTTTAAATTGGACGTCAAAAAGGAGATAGCCAATGCAAAATCTGAAATAATCCAAGCAAATAATGAAGAAATAAGGAAATTAAAAGAGAATCTAGAAAAAATAGAAATAAAGATAAACGGTGATATGGAAGAAATGGAAGGGAAATGGAAAATAGAAAAAATAGAAATGGACAGCAAAATGCTAGAAATGGAAGAAAAACTAGAAAAAATGGAAAAAATCAGAATTAAAAACAATTTACTCTTATCAGGAAAAGACTTGGTCCTTAAGAAAACAGAAGGAAACCAAACAACTATAGAAAACCTACTTAAACAGGAAATGGGGGTAAATGCTAAAGTAAGAGACTCATATGAAATAACAAAAGGAAAATGGATAATTATAATGGAAAACTGGGAAGATAAAATTAAAGTCTTAAAAAATAAAAGCAAACTTAAAGGTAAAGAAGTATACATAGAAGCCGAATTGACAACTAAGGAAAGAAAAATACAAAAAGATATAAGAGACCTAGCAAGAGAAGAAAAAAGTAAAGGCAAAAGAGTTAAAGTTGGATTCCAAAAACTGCAAATAGAAAATAGAACCTTAAAATGGTGCCGCACAAAGCAAACTTTGGAAGAAGAAAAACAGGAAATAGAGGAAGACAGCAGCCCACCTGTATACAATAGAGAGTCAAAAAACTAATAGCACCCAACAACAAAGCAGATCAGAAACGGACCGAGCAAAGAAAAAGGACAATGAGCATAGATAATAAAGAAAATAAAGGTAAAAATAAAAAAAAGATTAAAAAAAGAAATAGATTACTAATTGCAACATGGAACATAAAAACAATGCTAAGGACAGGAAAAATGGAGGAAATATACCGCGAGATGAACAAATACCATATAGAAATACTAGCGCTACAAGAAACAAGGTGGAAAGAGGAGGGTATAATCGAAAAAGAAAATTATACGCTATATTATTCCGGAGAAAAAAACAAGGCCATAATGGCACGGGCTTTATAATAGGAAAAACCCTTAAAAATAAGGTACTAGAGTTTAAAGCTATAAATGGAAGACTTTCATATATAAGAATTGAAAATAAACAAGCAAACATCAGTATTATAAACGCCTACGCACCCACAGAAGATGCAGAAGAAATTAAAAAGAACGAGTTCTACGAAAACCTAGAAAATACATACGAAAGCATAAAAAGAAATGACATAGTTTTTCTGGTTGGAGATTTTAATGCAAAGATTGGAAAAGAAAATCATATCACCAATGTGGCAGGCAAGGAAACTATACACACTAACACTAACGATAATGGATTAAAACTTTGCAACCTAGCCGAAATGACAAACTCATTTATTGTAAGCACAAGCTTTAAGCACAAAAAACCATTACTTGGATGATACCAGGATCCACAGAAGGCAACCAAATAGACCACATATTAATTTCTAGAAAATGGAAACGAATAATTCATGATGTAAGATCATACAGAGGCGCAAACGCGGACACAGACCACACATTAGTAATAGCGAAAATTAAACTGAAAATAATAAAAGATACTTCTAAAATAAATAGCAGAAAATGGGAAATAGACAAACTAAAAGACGAACAGGTAAATAGAAAATATAAAGAGAATATACAAGAAAAGCTTCAAGCAAATAACACAGCAGATATAGAAGAAGAATGGAGAAATATAAAAAGTTGCATTTTACAAGCAGCAGAGACGACAATAAGAAAAAAGAAAAGGATTAAAATGAAGACATGGTTTGACGAAGAATGCGAAAGAAAAATAGAAGCAAAAAACACTGCCAGAAAAAAATGGATAAACACGGAAAGACCCGAAGAACTGGAAGAATATAGAAACAAAAGAAAAACAGCAAATGCATGCTGCAGGAGCAAAAAGGAAAAATGGATCAACGAAATAATGACTGAAATAGAAAATAATAAAGACAGCAAAAAAATCTACAATACTATAAAAAATCTATACAAAATAAAGAAACCAACCGCAAAAATAGATGATAAAGACTGGGAGATACACTTCAGAAAACTATATAGTAAAAATGAAGGCCAACAAAGGGCAGAAACCGAAGAAGAAATAGTAAACAACAACGAAGAAATACCACCGACGTACGAAGAATTCAAGAAAGTAGTAACACAACTTAACAAAAATAAAACATGTGGACCAGACGAAATCAATAATGAACTATTAGAGCAAGCAGGGGAGACACATCTTAAACGACTAGACAACTTAATAACAGAGATATGGATCCAAGAAACTATGCCATTAGAATGGAGAACAGGTCTATTAACTCCAATACACAAAAAAGGAAATCAAACAGACTGCAAAAACTACAGAGGAATCATGTTACTGAACACTGCATATAAGATATTAACAAACATAATAAGATTAAGACTGGCAAAATACACAGAACAAGAAATAGGGGAATATCAGAATGGGTTTAGAAAAGGAAGATCGACAACAGATGCAATTCACGTAATGACTCAGATACTAGAAAAAAGCTACGAACACAACATAGAACTCCACATCATATTTATTGACTTTAAACAAGCATTCGACAAAATTATACGGACAAAATTAATAGAAGAGATGAAAAAAATTAACATACCAATAAAACTTATAAGACTATCTAAAATGAGCATGGACGAATCAAAAGCAAAAGTAAAAACAAAAACTGGAACATCAAAAGAATTTGAAATCGAGGTAGGTGTACGGGCAGGGGGACGCACTATCTACAACACTCTTCAACATAGCGCTAGAAGGTATCATGAGAGAAATAGGAAACAAGAAAGTTATAACACAAAACTCAACCCAATATATAGCATATGCAGACGATATAGCAGTAGTGGCCAGAGACAAAAGAAGCTTAGAAGAAATTATACAAAAAATTATTATTAAGGCAAAAGAAATAGGACTACAAATAAATCAAGGAAAAACAAAATACATGCATAGCGCCAGAAGAGATATAACCCAAAGTCATATTCAAATAGGGGATTGTAAATTTGAAGCAGTAGAAACTTTCAAATA